GACTTGGCTATTAATTTAGCTAGACTGGGCTATTAATTTAACTAGACTTGGCTATCAATTTAACTAGACTTGGCTATTAATTTAGCTAGCCTTGGCTATCAATTTAGCTAGACTTGGCTATCAATTTAGCTAGACTTGTCTATCAATTTAGCTAGACTTGGCTATCAATTTAGCTATCAATTTTTTGAATTCAATTTCAAGCTTATCAATTGCAAAATATTTCGTTTAGTAAAAATTTGAAAAACCTTTTCCCTTGCTTGTCCTTGATCGTAATAATTAGTCCCTATTGTTTCCCCGAAAAAACTTCATTTCTCCATTTCAAGAAAGAGAACAACAAAGATTTTATAGTTTAAATAAAATAATAAATAGAGATTAGAATGGTGATTGAAATTGAGAGCGCGTAAACGATCCTGAAAATAGTGCGCTCATCTTTTTTTTCGCGTCATGTTTTGTACTTTCAATACCGACAAAAATAAAACGCAAAAAGTTCTCTTTTCCCTTTTCTTTCACCTCTTTTTTTCCTGTTTTCTCAGAAATTTTTGCATTTGTTGATTGTGATCGAATAGCTGAACAAAAAAGTCCAAAGACAACGTTTATTCTCGGAATATTTTTGCTTTTTTTGTTTTACTTTTTCCATTTTGCTTTTTCCCCTTCCAAGATTAATTGTTTATCTTTTTCAAATCGCCAATTTTTAACAGGATTTTCAAGTTATTGAGTTCGTAGTTTTCACCACAAAATTGCTCAGAGTTTTGTCACTTTTGTAGTGAATGAGAGGAATTTCCGGGAATACCACTCTTTTGTCGCAACATTTCATTTCCCGATTAAGTCATTAGGCGAATTATTTTCCTTTGACCACACATGGCATTACTGAGAAGTTTTACTCAAGATTAAGACTTTAAAGAGGCAAAGATTTTAGGTTGTTCGTTTTCTAAAAAAATAACCTTTTAGCAGTAAAGAAATTTATAAATGTAACCAAGTTGTACGCTAAAGAAAGATGAGAAACTGGTTAACCTGGCTGGGAGAAACCTAGTTTATAGACTACAAAGCAACTAGACTTCTAGACTTCTAGACTTCTAGACTTTCTAGACTTCTAGACTCCAAGACTTCTAGACTTCTAGACTAAACTAGTCTAAAAGTCTAGTTGCTGATTCGAGATAAATTTCATGATATTCAGTTATTTAATTGATAATCGAGTGACATTTCTAATCATGTACCTGTTTTTTACCAAGCATGATTAACTCTTTAACTTAAAATTTAATCTTTAGCAAGATTAACTTTCAAGAATTATCACCGAAAGCAAAGGATTCATGGCTGTTTGAAATCAGGATTGGTAAAGGCAGCTAAAAATAGGCCAAAGCTAGGCTAGACCAAGCCAAAGCCGTAAATTTTCTGCGTTTCCCGTTTCCCGTAAATTTTAGGCCAAGCTAAAGCCAAAGTTTTAGGCAAAATTAGGACAAATCCAACAATATGATCAAAATTCCAGTCCAATGCCAACGCCATCGGCTTTGGCTTGTCTTTTGGCTTTTTACCAACGCTGTACAAAACCAAAAGTCAAGGCTAGCCAAGGCCAATGGCTTTCAATTGGCATTGGCTTGAAATTTCAAGATTACTGTTGGATTTGGCCAAATTTGGCCTGAAAAATAGAAATGTTTGGGACCCTTGTTTGGCTTTTTTTCCATTCAAACTGTTCTTTTCCTCTCAAGAAAACCCAAAACTTCCATTAGTTTCTAAAACTGGTAAACAAAGTGATATTAAATCTATTTTAACCGATAACTTTTATATTAAAAGAAAATCAAAACGGCATCAAATCCAAAACCAATCTTTAACCATCAAAAAACGGCACTTGCCCCTCTAAAAAAAGCCGTAAGGGGGAATTAATCCCCAGAAATTTTCTCTTTAAAGGTATGGGCTTTTTGTATGAAATCTGTAAATTAGAGGCTACTTCCAAGGAAACGCAAAAACAACGGCTTTCTCTATAATTTCCCTCCTCGAAAATTAATCTCTTTCCACACAAATCCCATCCACTAAACCACATGTGGAATAAACGCATAATGGCCGATTTTTTCTCTTTCCACCACCCCGATCAATTAGACTACATGTAGCTGTTTAAACAGGAAATTGGTTTTCTTCTTTTTTGTTTTTAACTTCATTGCTTATTTGTTAGGCCGATCTGTGCTCGTTGTGTTCTTTCGATCAACTCTTTATGCGACACTACATCTGGTTTCATTTTGTAATTTACAAAATGAAAAGATTTTGGTATTTGATGAGCTTATTGCAATTGTTAATATCTCTTCCGGCTGAATGCTACATGCTGAGCTTTCCTCGATTTACCCGCTTGTAGTTATTCGTTTAGCTTATCATGTTGCCTAAGTAATTTTAGAAATAGTTGACTATCGCTTAGATGAATTCTTTGTTCTTGATCTTGTTCTTGAATTCTTTGTTCTTGAATTCTTTGTTCTTGAATTTTTGAACAAGGACAGTCTATAAAATTCAAGAAGTATGCTGTACTTGAGCTAGTTAGTGCACCCAATGACTCTAGAATAACTTGAATCGAAATATTAACAGCTATGCATAATCCCGAGCCTTTTCGAAATTTCTTGAACCGGAGCGGTCTTTGAAATTACCATGCTTAATAACAGCCTACCGTAAATACTGTAATAATACCCGAGCCCCCTCGTACAGTCGTGTAGTCGCAAAAGTTTTTTAGTATTTCATTTTTTTTTCAAAGCGCTCGTACTTTCAAAAAATGCGTCTTTGGTGTCAAAAAATAGCCCTGAATTTCAGCTATTTTTTTGATACCTAAGCGCGCATTGTAGCATAAACCAGTGTCGAGAAAAACTCGTCCAAAGCTAGACTACGCAACACTGATCTTGCCAAAAAATTCAAAAAATTTATTCACTTCCTTTATTTAATCTCATAAAATTCTTTTTCTCACTCAACTTTTCATCAAACTAACCTCCAAACTCTTCTTTTCTCCATACATTAGTCCTTGATTCCTATAGCCATCCCTTTTCCTCCGTATGTAGTTTTCTTGGTAAACACACCACAATTTGTTTTGTCTAATCTGGCTTCTTTTCGATTCACCTAGTTCAACATTTTGTGGGCTTTTGTTGCCAAGAGTAAATCTTGGCAACAAAAGAAAAAACCGTCACCGTCACCAATTTGTGTGCGATTTCTTTTGTTGCATTTTGCAATTAGTGCGCAGAATTTGCAAGGATTCTGCTCCAAAATCCTATATTTTTCTCTCTTTCTAGTCTACAAATTTCATTGACTCTCACGTTGAGAGATCAACGCGCTTTTTTGTCATTCCGTTTCCTCGGGGAATTTTTTAATCCTTTTTCTGATCTTAAACCAAAGCCGTATTTTTACGTAAAACAAAGTTTTATCAGAGACAGCCGGTTTAGAAAGCAAAAAAAGTCTTGCACCATTGTTGTATTCTGTTGTTTACTATGGTATAGACGACATTTAATGCCTTCTCCGTTTGTACCTTTAGTAAGGAGTCGCTTGTAATAAAAATGGCTAATATGTCCGGAAACTAGACAAAAATAGTAGAGTTAGTTGTGAAAAAGTTTTCTTTGAAACGATTATTTTTACGGAAAAATTTTTGTTTTAAGTCTCTGAGAGACAATGGCGCAAGACTTTTTTTGCCTACTGTAAATTGTTGCCTCAATTTTTGGTTTTTTGCCTATACAGCAGGATTTTCTTGCGCACATTTCTTATTTTAAAATAAATTCCATGAAATTAAAATGTTCTCCCTAAAATTTAGTCAGCCAATTGTCAGCCAATTATAGTCAACTTTCGATTTAACGATTTTTTTCAATTTAGCGATGTGAAATGTGCATTTGATTACCGATTTTCAGCTAAAAATGCAACAGATTTTTATGGAAATCAGAAAATATTTGCAAAAACTTGAGCAAAATTGTTCGTCACAAAAAATTGAGCAAAATTTTGACACAAAAAGCTGCCCTAAGTGCTTCTGTTTTTTTTTTTGTTTTATTTCTTGTCGATTTCTTTAATAATCTTCTTATTTTAGGTGATGGAACGAGGAAAAATGAAGTGAAGACGAATCGATTTGGCTTTGAAAAAGAAAACCATCTCTTTGTCGACTTCGAAAGGACCAAAGAAGTTATCGATGCTGATCTTGCTGAGCTCGAGCTACCGCAATCAATTATTTCTACAATTCTTGCAGAGAGGGGAAAGATTATGTTTTGGTTGATGAAAATGTTGCAAAAACCGGTTTACAAACTTTGAAAGAGCTGGCAGCTTTTGCAAATTGTTCAAATAGCTTATCATCATAGGAAAGCGAAGACGAAGAAGTAGCCAAAATTGTCAAGCCGATTTCTCGTGAAGATGCATATCGTAGTTTCCAAGTGTTTCGAAGCTACGTCAAACAGAAAGCCGATGCAGAAGTTGTTAATACTCTTTCAGTTATGGGAGTGGGACAAATGCGACCTTTTTTTTGTGCACCCGGACATTTGCGCACCTTTCTTCCGCACCTTGCCCATTAGCGCACCTTTTTTCGCGTTTTAAAAAGCCCCAAAAGGCTATTTTTACCCATTTCCTTCAAAGGTGGTTTTTCTAGGTAATTTTAGGGCGTAGAATCGAAATTTTGGCATATTAGAGCTTGTGGAACCAATTTGAAAGTCGCATTTGTCCCACTCCCTCAGTTATCGATAATTTTTTTGCACACAAACTTCTTTAACTGATTTTTTGTTAGACTTTTTTTCTGATAGCACGGTTTTTATGAGTTCTTTTTGTTGATAAATTTGTCAAAATGATTCGACTTAAGGATTTAGTTGCAAACCCTTCAGATTTTTGCTTTGATTTAACGATTTCAAGTGTCGGTCCCTTGCGAATCGTTAAATCGAGGTTCAACTGTATCTGTTTTTCGCCAATTATCCGCAATTACCACTGTTTTATTTTTGAACCTGAATTTATAGTTTGATTCCTCCAATTTGTGAGAATATAGCTAACAAGATTTTATCAATCTCTTTCCAGTGATGACCTACTCTCAATTCGCCGAGCGGACACCTTTGCGACAATTCGAAATTCGCGCCAGTGATGGCAGCCTTTTTGTGAATGCGCATTACATCTCCGAGTTGAGCCCCTATTTTTACAGGTTAGTCTTTTTGCTTTGCAAATTATTTGCCAATCTTTATAGAATCGATCGTTGAATTGTTCTCAAAATGAATGCCAATTTTAGGTGTTGTTTCGACGTGCGATTCAAAGAGTGCCGCGAGGGTTTCGTTTTGATACCAGACGTGGTTGTGGATGACCTCTCGGCGATGCTTGAGTTTATTTGCCCCGATGAGAATTTCGAGTTAAAGAGAGATGTCAATGGTTAGTTTTTGGTGTTATTTGGTGTTTATGAGCTTGGAATATTCACAATTCATACATTTCGTGACCAAGGGTTGCCAAAAAAGTCAACTTTCCAGGCCAAGCCAAGGTTTTAGGCCAAATTTGGTTAATCCAACAGTAATTTTGAAATTTCAGGCCAAGGTCAATTGAAAGCCATTGGTCTAGCTTTGACTAGCTTTGACTAGCTTTGACTTTTGGTTTTTTTCCCAGCCTTGACTCAATTCAATTTTTAGATGATAATGTTTGCCAGCTTCTTAACTGTGCTTACCGTTTTGATGTGGCCTTGATTAAACAGGAATTAGATGATTTTCTTGAAAAGGTAAACTTTATTTGTCCCATTCTTTGAAACGATTAAATTTTTAGGAAATTTTGAAGAAAGACATGAAAATCGAGACAATCATCAATTTGTTGCTTGTAGCAGAGAATTATCCAATCAGGTATAAAGTTGCATTTTTCTAAAACTCATTTCCAAGAATTGAAAGTCTCAAGACGATTTGGTCTAATTCTTAAATGAATAATTGAGTTGAAGATTGACTCAAGTCCTAATCTCGGGATTAATTTGTTGTGGTCACGGGGCTGTGTTGGGTCTATTTTGAGAGCAATCAGCTGGAACACAATGAACTAATTATATTGTTCGTATACACAATTGTTTGTATATTTATTTTTAACTATCATGATTCAGGGACAAGATGCGAGAGCAAATTCACCGAAAACTCGGCTCGTTTGGGGCAACAAAAATCAATGAGGTTTTGAAAAATTTTGCGGTTCTTCTCCGAAATCCGGGTTTTTTTCATTGTGAAAAGCATGCAGAATTTGTGACGAAAATACAGCCAAATTTTGGGCAAAAATTGTTCCTAAAAATTTGGGCAGATTGACGGCAAAGCCGGCTCAACCACTCACCGCTCCTTTCACTTTACGGATTTCAAAAGGGAAGCTTCCTATACCGATGGGGTTTACCAGATTGCGAGCGATTACCCGGCCACACATCTCGCCAATCATTTAGATAGGGGATTTTTCCTTTGTTCTGTAAATGATTCCAAAATGAGATTTAATGTTAAAAATTTGTACCCCGAGGTTTTCAGGGTCGTAGAACCTATTGATGGAGTTTATTTAAACCCTTTTTCCCAAGAAAAGTCTTAAGAGAATCGAATTGGCTTTAGGTTTTGCATATGCTAGCTTTTCACAATGCAAAGACCCAGATTTCCGAAAGGAAACAACTATAATAAATGAATTTCAGGCGACCAAAGACTTGCCCAATGCTACGCGGACGAAATTTCGAAGGAATGTTGAGAGATATGTGGTCAGTTTTTAAAAAAGCTTTTGTATACTGCACTATTGCACCTGAAACTTGTTTATAACGATGGAATCTCCAAGTTAACTGCAACTGCAGATTGCTATATTGGAGGTTTCATTGTTTTGCACGTACCAAGCTGTTTTAGGGTTTTTAGCTGGATAACTTTTGATATTATCTCAAAATAGAAGCTTTACTCTTTAGCCAGTACCCAAATTGATGAAATACGTAATCAATTCTGAGACAGTTCAAAGTCTATCGTAAATAGTCTATCATTTACTTGCAATTGTAGGTGTCACTGTGCAAATTGTGTGCTTCTCGCAACAAGCGCAAAAATCTCTTGCATGGCTTTCCTTCATTCAAAATTTTCCCAGTAGTGGTTGTGGAAATGGAAGTGCTCATTCATCTGTCGTCTCCAAATTTTTTGTTGTATTTTGGTTGGAAAGATCGAAAAGCTGAGCGAGCGCTTCATTTCTAGGGCCAACAGCACCGAAGCGAAGTAAAGATGGATCAATCAATGACCTGCTCCCTTGCACTTGATGACTACCCCGATCCTCTATATGGCTTCAGTCTATCATAGTTATTCTTCTTCTTTAGGACAATCAGGAGAAGAAAACAGAAAGTCGATCGATCTATCAATCGCGCTTCAATTGGAACGATCCCATACCGTTTGGCCGTCACTTCTAACTAGTTCCTATTACTTTTCGCTGTTGTGATACATTGCACATAGGTTCCCCTTCTAGACTAAACTAAAGCGTTTTCTAAAAAAGTGCTTAAGAAAAAGTTGTAGCTGTCTTCACTAATATAAGTATTAGAGGTGGTGTACGGTAGCTTTCTTAAGGCTATCTTTTATAAAACGTGCAAGTCAAGAGATATCTGGTTTCCCTTCTAAGCTGAATCTCTCAACTTGAGGTTTCTAAAAGGCGCGTTTAAGAAAAGTTATCGTGAATTCACTGTGTCCACTACCGTAATCACTAGAGGCGGTGTACGGTAACTTTTTTTTCTAAAATGTCCTTAGGAGTACTTAGGAGTTAAGTAAAAGTTACCGTAACCCCATAACTTTTACAGGTTCTCATCCCGAAATTGTTACACGATTTCGCTGCGTTGATCTACTTGCAAAAATTCATGATTGAGCGAATGATTAGTAATGATGAGAGGAAAGAGGACGTTCAGACGTTCAATCAACTCACTTAGAATGAACTAATTTTTATCTAGTAGCCGAACATTTTTCTGATAATTTTTGTCAAATTTTGCTGTATTTCGTTTGTTTATTGTTGCCATTGAACGGCCCTATTTTTATCTGTTTAGAAATCTCCCTTTGATCTCTTCTTAAAATTTTGACTTTCTGAATCTAATCTTTCCCAGATTACTTACCCCAATTTGAGCGCTTAACAAGGTTTAACTTTAATTTTTTGACTATATAATCTTGAACTTGACCATAATCCAGGATTTATTTCTTTCAAAAGCTCAACAAGAACAGGAATTATTTACTTTAATGTTTTTTTTATTGAAAGTCAACTGTACATATAACTTACAATAAAGTTTTGAAAGTCAATGAAAAAACAACGCCTAATGTAGAAAAAAGCGTCGAGAAATATTGGAAAAGCTTATCGAAATTCTGTTTTTGACATTCATTCAACGTTTTCCACCCACACATCACCGTCATTCATCCGGATTTCGGCTCGTTTCTCTTCAGGGAAATAAACGATTGTTGCGTTTCCAGGAAGCTCTTTTACAGCCTCTCCTGGGACCTGTAAATGAATGTTGAGTAGCTGTGTTGAAACTATAAACTAATTCTATTGATTTCTGAATTTTGTTATTCTTCTTCAATATCTTGCGCTAGCCAGCCTTACTTTCGATCAAGTATCAGAAAAACAATGACAAGATAACGAAAGATTGCCTTAATCTATAAGAGAAAATCCGAATGAGGATTAAAGACAAATTGAAAACGGCTTTGGAAGATTTTCAGAATTTGAACTTTAGATTTTACACTCACCATTACAGTAGTTGTTGTCTCTTCTCCATCTCCACCTAATCGTCTCAATTGTTTCGCCAAAACAGCTGTCTGATTTCCGGAAACGGGCTGCAAAAGCTTTTCTTGATTTTAAATCTATCCCTAATCCCTAATCTCTTAATATTTTGTACCTCTGTATCTTTATCATCGCTGAACTTGTAGGCAGCCAATTTATCTTTGTAGCGAACGGCCATCGCTCGATATCTCATGCAACATGTGGACTCGGAACACTGAACGTACCTGAAACACAATTCTCAATTTTGTACTGAACGTACCTGAAACACAATTCTCATTCAAGACTTTTGATTTAGAGATTAGAAATCCTAGATCTAGACTTGCTTGCTAGACTTATAGACATAAAATAAATCAAAGAAATAGACAAAAAGAATTTTCTAGCATTTGTAGCTATTGTTTTTGATTTTCAACCGTAATTCATTTTCTATTTTGCACTAACACATAAGCCTTGATGTCTATTATATCAGAATTATCAACTTTCAAAGTCAAAAGCTACAAGCGATTTCAAAATTCACCTCCTACTGACTTTATTGGTACTCGGATAAAGTTTTAAACTGATCTTCTGTACTTTATTTTATCACGCTTTCTTTCAAACTCACCCAGCTGGACAATAACATTCATCGAAATCTGGACATGGTAACATTAATGGAGGTGAATCAAGACAGCTTTGTGAGCAATGTGGCATACAAGCTGAATTCATTCCTTTTTAAATGTATTTTAAAACAATTCAATACAGTCGTTTCCTCCCGTTTAAACTACAAAAGATTAATCTCTCTATTTCATTTTATAGCCAAACAAAAGTGCTTAGGCTTGGACTGGATGATGAGAGCTGTTGTCCAAAAAAATCTAATCTTTAGTGCGAAGGCTAGCGGCTAGCGCCTCGCACTAAGTCTATTTGGATTTGGGCTGAACCTCTGGATCTCAGCCAGTTTCCGGAGCTAAGGGACACCCGATTGCCCTTTAGGCTTAGGCTCAGGCTCAGGCTTAGGCTCAGGCTCATGGTTCAGGCCAAATTTAAACTACAAAAGATTAATCTCTCTATTTCATTTTATAGCCAAACAAAAGTGCTTAGGCTTGGACTTAGTGCGAAGGCTAGCGGCTAGCGGCTCGCACTAAGTCTATTTGGGTTTGGGCTGAATCTCTGGATCTCAACCAGTTCCCGGAGCTAAGGGACACCCGATTGCCCTTTAGGCTTAGGCTCAGGCTTAGGCTTAGGCTCAGGCTCATGGCTCAGGCCACAGCCAAATGTGAGGATATAATTGTCACCTTTGACGGAAATGAATGTCATTTTCTAATCTAGATTTAGTTTTCAAAAATTCTCTTTTATTGTAAAGACAATAGAAAAGGGATTTAAAAAAAATGGTAGATAAAATGAAAAAAATACAGCAGCTACTGCTCTTTATTAAGCTAAATTTAACTTTTATCCGTAAAATTAATCAAATTTCTATTGTTAATACCTTTTTAAAGGTATTAACAAAAGGTACACCGGCTTGCGGAAACTTTTAAAGGTACACCGGCTTACAAAAAACTCACAAGCTCTGCATTTCCCGTTTTGCTTTGGCTCAATGAGTAGACAACTCTCTCGACACAGCGGCATACAATCGGCTCGACACACTGGTGGGCGCTCGTCTTCCCATTGCTGAAAAAAAGCTGCTTTTATAACTCTTTAAGAAGCTAACAAGAGACAAAATATTTGGAACAAACCACAGAAGGTACAGGCTCTGTCCAATTGTCTTCATCCACCGAGTTTCCCCATTCAAAAATGCTTCTTCTTGTCGTGGCTTGTGGTGGCCGATTGGGAAGACCAAGGATATCTGTCTGAAAAGTGAAAATCAAAAAAAAATTGAATGATCAAAACTCGAGTCAAACCTGAGTCAAACTGTTCATAAACTCGTAAACCAGTTCGCTATATCGTTTCATACAAGAAGTCAAACATTGCGGTTGACAAGCTTTTGGACAAGAAACGGCTGGCCTTCTTTTAGAAATAGGCGTTGTGGCAGCGGGTCTAAACTCGAGTTGAACTCGTGCAAAATTCTCAATTACCTCATTGAGTTAGCATAGAGATATTTCGGAGAAGGATCTCCAATCTTTGGACCCATTTTGCGGTATTTCGGTGTTGCGGTTTTGAGTCCTTGTGGGTATCTGGATGGATAGTGTTGCTGGTATTGTGATGGGTACTCCAAGCGAACCGGACGAGCTTGTGGAAGGCCACAACTGAAAGTATTTATCATAAGAGATAAGGCGGCTCTCCCGGAAAGGTTACACATGCCGGTGTAGCTCTTTGCTGGAGCGTTCGCCTGGTAAGCGAGAGATCGCTAGTTCGAATCCCGGCAACGACCAGCCCCAACCCATAAAAGGATCGGCCTTTGCCTACTTTTACCTTTTCTTTCCATTTTTATAATAGAAAGAATCGTACTGTACGGTTCTCATAACATGAATCAAGATTGACTGGATTGATTGAGTGCAAGCTGATCTGCAAGCTGATTGGCTGCAAGCTGATTGGCTGCAAGCTGATCTAGAAGCTGATCTAGAAGCTGATCTAGAAGCTGATCTAGAAGCTGATGTAGAAGCTGATCTGCAAGCTGATCTGCAACCTGATTGACTGCAAGCTGATCTAGCTACTGATCAAGTCAACCTATACCATTGTTAGTGATACACTAGAGCTATAATAGTTGGCTAAACAGGCTAAACAAAGTTCACTCGAGCAATTCTTGCCTATTTCGAGTCAAGCTATTCCAATTTAAAGCACTTACGGTAACAAAATATCCAATAAATTGCACTCACCATCGATACCCGCACCATCCATAGGCACAATTCATAAGCTGCGCAAAGAAGTTCGACATCTCATCCATATTATATCGATGTCCACGATAGGGAAAATCCGAAATAGTACTATTGACAGTACTGGAAATGTGAAATGTTTATAGTTTTATATAAAGATTGAATGACTAACCCATTTGTTAATAAGAAAGCTTGAGTCTCGTTTGTTCGCTTTTTCATTGCTTCAAGCACATCATCAAGAACGTTCTAAAGCAATCAAATTTTAGATAAGTAACCTTTAGATAATTAACTTACATTTTCTGGGAAATGTTTCTTGATTAACGCTTGGAAATCATCAGAAATCCCTTCTGATTTAAAGCATTGAATAGAAAACAAAAGGAATAGTGTACTCCGGAGAATCATTTAGATCTTTATTGAAAGCTATGCGCTAAAACTATTTGATTCCTGAAAATGGATAGAATGAAATCAAAATGAATCGGAAAAGGAGTCGAAAGGTTTGGAGCTGTCAGAAATGGAGAACGGACAAAAGAAAGACAACATCCGAAATTCACCTTTTCCCCTTTTCAGTGATGTTCGAGCTAACAAACACCTCGCGCACGCCGCTAGAAATCCCTCAAGAAGAACAATGGATTGCGGATTGAAGACTAGAAGATGGATTGGAACAAAGTTCATTATTAAAGGCAGCGAATCACAATCCCATTTACTAAAGAAAAGCTAGAGAATATTTCATTCAGATATTCTCTGGATATTGTTTAGTATTGTAAAGAAATATTCTTTGCGTGCTCTTCACTCAAAGGTTTCCTTTATGAACTTTTGATTTATACAAAATGTAGATAAGAAAATAGCATACAATAATGGATAAAGCCAGAAAAGAGTTCACAAATGCAAAGTTTACTGAAAAAGAGCTTATGGTTTGGTTACCCGATCGTACCGGTTCTCCTTTTCGGGAATGAGTGGATAATACCGTATTCTCTCCAATAGTAGTGCAGCCTGAGCGTCGCCCAAATTGCTCGAAATCTCGAGAACCGCTTATCAGAACCTATCGATGTGAGGGAGGAAAATGTAGCTGACGATGAGATCTAGTGGGGGATTTGAGTGTTGAGCTTCTGCGAAAACTTTGAAAGCCGTAAAATAGTGATCAACTCGGCTCGCCGGGGTGCACTACTATTAGAGAAAATACGGTATATAAAAGTCTCAAACTCAGCACTGAAAACAAGTGGAAGAGAGATTGTTGCTCCAAGAATGCGATGACGATCGACAAGAGGCTGCAAATCGGTTGGTAAGCGTCGGTCGGTAAGCGAAACATGAATCCAATGAAACATGAAATAGCAAAAGAATGAATCTTCTGTGGTTTTCCTTATTCATTTCCATGAAAGAATGGAAATTTTGCGGATAACAGAAAAAGGGGGGTTTATTTTTGCGGATTTATAACGGAAAAGAATCCAAAAATTCACTTCTCAAGTATTTTTAAAGAAAAGTTTTCTTGAAAATTCAAAATAGCATAAAACAAGAAGAATAAAAAAAGGAAAATTATGCAAACTGAAAGAAACTGAAGGGAAATAAGTTAAATGAATCAAATAAATCAAATAAATCAAATGAGTCAAAAGGAGTTAAATGAATCAAATGAATCAAATGAATCAAATCAATCAAATCAATCATCGGATACAACTTTCATATGCTGGAGGCATTTCAATGATAGTGTTGGGAGTGTTGGGAGTGTTGGGTGAGTGGATTTGAGCGATTGCTGATTCATTGGATTGATTCACTTGCAAACTTTCATATACGGGTGGTGGACTGAAGATCGTGTAAACGGGTGGATTATCACTTTGAGCTCGAGTCTTTTTCCTAAAACTTTCCAGTTCTCAAGGGAATTCTTGTTAAATCTTTGTTTAATCATTCGTCAAAGTTGTTGAAGCTTAATCTTTTATGTAAAATTTTTTATATTTCAATTTAAAGGGGGGGTATTAATCGCGGCCGGGTGACGATAAAAATTTTTTTACGACAACCACCTGTTTTTTTATTTTAATATCGCTGATTTTATTATAAAAAGAATAAAAATCACCCGGCTAGAGTGATTTGATGGGCTTACAAATTTTTGGAGACGCTGCAAGGCTCGCGTAGCTCATCTACAAGGTAAGTGCGAAAGTAAAGCAAAAGTCAGGCATTATGTTTCCTTTTTTTTTTCTTTAGACTTTCGATCTACACTTCTGGCTTTTAACATCTCTAGATGCCTTTTTCCAGATGGAGATTTTATGTTTAGATAATGCAAAAGACCATCAAAACACCCTAAGCTAAACACCCAAAACACTAGAGTGTGTTCCTCTCGAGTAATGCGTTTTCCAAAAGGCACCTATTTGAGAAAACTACCGTAGTCAAACCTCCAATTTTCATTCAGTTAGCCCAATTTTTGTATCATTCGATGAGGAATTAAAAGGCTCAGTCAATGATACCAAAATCTGGCTGATCGAACGTAAACTAACGACTTGACTACGGTAATTTCTCAAATAGGTGCCTATCTATTGATTGTTTTTTGCAAGCTTATTTCCTTTGCTATTTTATTATACGATCATAAGATATATTTTTAGGATTTCTAAACAAAATGGAGGCGGAAGAAGAGCTAATCGAAAAGCCAGCATTTGTTATTGTTGAATTCGCTCAATTGGAGAAACTATTACAAAGATGCCCAGATTGTGGAAAACTTCCAAGCGGTCAAAAAACAGGATAAGAAAGAAAGATTGAATGGAACATGACAGCAATCATCCGTTGTGGTTGTACTAATTATTCCCGAACTCGTTGGTCCACGCAATCATTTATTTCGGGAACTGAGACGCGAACTGGTAACCTCGCCTTGACTGGAGCAGCGCAACTAGCGCCCGTCGGCTTTGTCGAGTTATCGTCGTTTTTTTCAATTGCACAAATTCCGTTTTTGAAAAAGGATAACTTTCTCAGCCTGACCAAATGTTTTGTGTGGCCGATGATTGAAGTATTTTACAAAGAGAAACAAGCTCAAATCTTTGAGGGTTTTCGGAAAGGGGCGATTGGAATTGCAATGGACTCTCCAGGATATTCAGCGGAATTTTGTGCTGTTACGTCTATCGAAATCGAAACCAAGCAAGTAATAGATTTTGCTATTGTTCACAAAAGTGAAACTGAAAACAAAAGCGCTGCAATGGAATTAGAAGGAGTGAAACGGTCAATTTGTTTCATCGAGGCAAAGGCGGATATTGCTAGTATCACAACAGATAAAAATAATCAGATTGTATCTTACCTCCAAAAACGCAAATTCAAGGTCTATTTTGATCCTTGGCACCGATTGGGTTCCTTGAAGAAAGAATGTATGGCAGCAACGAGAAAATTAAAAGGGGATCAAGAGAAAAAGCAAATGAGAGACTTATCACGTCGTTTTCTTATACATTGCTACAAAGCCGTTGAACTATTTGGAGCTAATCCGAAACAATGTGTGGAAAAGGTTTTCTCATTCTTTTTCCATATCCAAGGCATCCACAACTGGGCGAATGACTCATTCGCTAAACTTCTTGTTCATTCCCAGGAGATAAAATTGGGTACAAAATTCAACACGGAAAAGTTTATCGCAATGACGGAGTGCTCACACCCCTTGAACTATCAATCTTCTCATGACCCAATTCTTCCCATTTCTACAATCTATTCAATGCTTCTGGAAATTGCAGCAAAGACTTGCTTCATAAGCGACTTTGAACGAATGAGGATTGATAATATTACATCCTATGTTGAAAACTTTCATTCACTCTGCATCAAGTATCGTCCGAAAAGAAAATATTTTTGTCGAAAAGGATTTGAATATCGGACTATGCTGGCAGTTTTGGATCATAATACAAAGATTCAAGCCGAGATGGCAGGAGAGCGCCAAGTAGAATCCAGCTACCGTTGTTTTTCGAAAGCCAAGGGAGCTTATGTTACGAAAAAAAAGAAAACCACAATCGACCACAAATGGAAAAAAGATCTAATTGTGTCAATCAAAGCGCTGAAGACGTCCTACGGTGGAGGAGATCCAGTCACTTCTGGTGAAGATGCGCTGGAAATTGATAAGATAGGAAGCCGTTTTGAGGAACTGCTGTACTTGAGCGAAGATGAAAGTGAGCAAGAGGAAGAATTATAGATTAACAACTTATTTTTATTGTTTTTTGTGCTTTTTATTTTGTTTTTAAATTTATCTGCAATAAAAACTCAATCGATCTAGACTGTGCTGAGGTGTCTGATGATTGACGATCTTGTTTTTCTCCAAGCCTTGCAGCATCTCCAAAAATTTGCAAACCCATCAAATCACTCTAGCCGGGTGTTTTTTATTCTTTTTATAGTAAAGTCAGCGATATTAAAATAAAAAAACAGGTGATTGCCGTAAAAAAATTTTTATCGTTACCCGGCCGCGATTAATACCCCCCCTTTAAGCCTGTTTTTATATGAATTTTAGCATAAATTTAGCATTATTTAAACATTAAAATGTTGAAAAAACTAAAACAATCAATTTTTCTATTGTTTTATCAATATCAAGTTTAATTCTTTTTTGATCTAATAAGGTTCCAATACGGTTCTTTTTTTGATCTAATAAGGTTCCAATACGGTTCCAATACGGTTCCAATGCGGTTCCAATACGGTTCCTTTTACGGTTCCTTATACGGTTCCAATATGGTTCCTTTTACGGTTCCAATACGGTTCCTTTTACGGTTCCAATACGGTTCCTTTTACGGTTTCTTATACGGTTCCAATACGGTTCCAATACGGTTCGAATACGGTTCCAATACGGTTTTTTTTGATCTAATAAGGTTCCAATACGGTTCCAATACAATTCCAATACGGTTCCTTTTACGATTCCAATACGGTTCTTTTTTTGATCTAATAAGGTTCCAATACGGTTCCAATACGGTTCCTTATACGGTTCCAATACGGTTCCTTTTACGGTTCCAATACGGTTCTTTTTACGGTTCCAATACGGTTCCTTTTACGGTTCCAATACGGTTCTTTTTTTGATCTAATAAGGTTCTAATACGGTTCAATCAACTTTAAATTCAATTCTTAAGGTCGAATTAAACTTAATAGATCTTTTAAACTTGATTTTATATATAATGAGACATCTAAATAAGTAAATAAATAAAAGAAAAGCTATTTCTGACTTTCAATAATGTTTAAAACGTTTCATAACTTCAACTTTACTTTGTTGAGTTTAAACTAACCATTCAACTCGTTCTTGTCGTAATCTTCTGACGCTTAAATAGTATGTGATACCAACCATCAAGGTGATGACAGTAAATGGAAGAAGAATTAAGTAATTCATCGAAAACCTTTCAATAAAAGTAATTTCAACATGTGAATAGCTCTTATCAGTGACCTTTCTCAAAAAAAAAGATTCAAAATATTTATGCAACTGAAAAACAACCCTTCTTATCATAAAGAATGTTTTGAAAGAAGACTTTCACTTGGAAAGAAGCTTACAGAAGTTAGTATTTATGGATTTTATAAAATAATCACCATCTTTTTATTTAAATAGTCTAAAAAACAAAAGAGAATTTGTTGATGTCACTCCAACAATAGAAGGAACTAATATTTCACGGGTCGCTGTGCAGAGTTGACTATTCTAATGGATAAAAATCTATCAAGACTTTCTATTCTCGATTCATACTCTTAATGATATCATTTTTGATGTGTTTTCATGTAAAATACCAATAGTTTATCAGGTACGCCGCGCAGAAGGCGGCTAAGACCCAAAAACCCATATTTTCAGAGTCCTAACAAAACTTTAGACTCTTAACACTCCTGCCAAAACAACGTTCAGCAAACACGAAAAGCAGATTCGGAAAAAAAGTGAAATTCTGCGTCGAGGTTGTATGTCATTTGGCCGGTTCAGCCAGTTGACCTTCCCTTGTTAGTTTACAACCTAATATACCGGAAGGATTTGTCAGATGGCAAACTATTACGCAGGCGCACAAAGAACATCTCGCCAGTCGTCAGTTTACGTTTGTAGTTTCTAGATTTGCCAGATTGGTGAGAGAAAGTAGTACCAAGAATTTGGTTTTCCAACTTTCTTATGTGATTTGGTTGAATTTTTCTATTTTGCAATACTCAAACATGAGAAAATTTGGAAAAAGCTTAATTGAAAGTTTGCATAAGAAAAACTGTCAAGAAAACTTTAATTTCCAAATTACCTGGTAGAATTTCTCTGCCACTAACCGCTTTACTTAATGGCACACTTTTTGTAATGTTATGGAGAAGAATGAGAGCATTTTATCTAGAAAACACAAGTCAACAAAAAGCAGATATGAGAAAAGAGTTTAAATTGCCGCTACATGTAGAAATAGCAAATTCTTGGCCTTGAATTTCAAAGCTAAAATCATCTTTCTATTCATTCTATTCAGATGATTAGCTTTGTCATCAATTTCATTCATTTAATGGGTTTATCTTGTGTAACTGGACTACTCCCACGTGATACAGTTTCACTTTTCTTTATCAGCACATTCAGCTGACAGTTCAGCTCACTTTTTTGAGGTGAGTTCAGAATTTTGGTGTCAGCTAGAACAAGACTGCTAGAAGCTAAGTCCAGATCTGTTTCTGAGCAAATCCAGAGATCAAACCAGCGATCTAACTCAAGTTTTATCTGGTTTTTCTGAAATTTTCCATACCGTGTTCTCTCTAATAGTAGTGTACCCCGGCGAGCCGAGTTGATGACTATTTTACGGTTTCCAAGCTTTTGCAGAAGCTCAACACTCAAATCCCCCACAAGATCTCATCGTCAGCTAGATTTTCCGACCCCACATCAATAGGTTCTGATAAGCACTTTTCGAGATTTCAAGCAACTTAGGCGACGCTCACGGTGCATTACTATTAGAGAAAATACGGTAATTCAGAAGGCTTGTTTTTGTTTTTTTGTGATAATGCACAGATGAAATTCAATATATACCGTATTTTCTCTAATAGTAGTGCACCCCGTCGAGTTGGTGACTATTTTACGGTTTCCAAGCTTTTGCAGAAGCTCAACACTCAAATCCCCCACTAGATCTCATCGTCAGCTACATTTTCCGACCCCACATCGATAGGTTCTGATAAGCGCTTTTCGGGATTTCGTGGAATTTAGGCAACGCTCAGGGTGCATTACTATTAGAGAAAATACGGTAATTTCTGTTTATCTTACGTGCTGATTCTTTGGGATTGATCTCCACCATTAAAACACTCAAAAGATCATAACGATTACAACAAATGGATTGAAGTTTATGATATTTGATTTTCGATTTTAAAGCGATATCTTTATCATTTTCTTTTCTTTTTGCGTTTCTCAGTGCAATTTAGAAATCTCTATCTAATTTCTTCAAAATTGTCTAAAAAATCTTTTCACTTACAATTATAAGATCCAATTTCGATTTGCCCTTGTTGTAACGAAGATGCTTTGTTTAACCATTTGTGCAATTTATGTCTTGCTGTTTCCAGATTTTGTTCATTTTCAACCTAAATCTGTCTTTAGTTCATAAATATGAAAACTAAAGTCCAGAAGTCAGCTTCTAAACTTTCCTTTTTCTACCAGTAAAGCCAAGCTTAATCTTCAGCAAATTTTAGTAAAGATCCCGATAAAAAAGAAATAGTAAATAGAACACCTATACCTGTAATCGATCTTTTAGATGAGTTTTGAGTCTTCAATCTCTCCAATATCTTTTTTCTTTTCAGCTAAGTTCATCAAAGTTGAGTTGAGTATTGTGATTGAATCAAAAAGACGATGGAATCGAATATTCATCCATCGCTATAAACTACAAGAACAGACTACAAACTACAAGAACAGACTACAAACGTTCTAGAAACAGACAGAAGCTTTTATAAACTATTTTTACCAGAAAATCAAGCCAAATTTGGGCTTTTAAATGACACAAAGATCAAGTCAATCCATTTTTGTGTTGAAATATAACGTTTTCTTTCAAGGTTTATAGTAATATCCAATGGAATGAGATTACAAATTGTTATAAATAATAGGTTGATGCATAAGTCTTTTCGTTTTTTTCGTACTTCTGTTAAAAAGTAACAAATTCACGAATTAATCTATAGTTTGCTCTATAAAAAAAAGTGTTTTTTTGTTCAATTTGCATCTTTTTAAATGAATTTCGGTTCACTTTCAAGCAAATTCGAGAGTGAAAAACGCCTTTTTCGTAAAAATCTATAAAAAACTCTACGGAAAAATTGGCTGAATGAATTTCTCTGAAATTTTGGCGAAATATCAAACGTTTTTTTTCTCTATCTTTTATCTATTGACACGAAGATAGGTTTTCTTTAGCTAAGGTGTCTAAACCGCATCATCGAGTTAGCCCTTTTTGACTACCCGACTTCATACTCTCAAGAAAATCCAGGCATTAAATATTTTTAAACCCGTTTTAATGTTATTTTGCAGAAAAATAATTGCTTTTTCTAATGAAATCAACCGTAGTTTAATTGGTGCATTTGTTGGCTTGAAACGGCAGACGAAAAGGAACAAAAAGACTTATGCATCAACCTAAGATTTCAATTGAACAGCCAAATAAGAAGATATTTAAATTCAAAGTTGAATTGCCAATGGCAAAAGGAGGCGGGGCGCGTCTAAAAGGTGGGACATGTACGCTCTGCCCCTTTCCCATTGGCAATCTAACTTTGAGCTCAAATTTCTTGGTGTCAGGCTGTTAAATTTAAATACTTTTGGTATCATTAGATTCGCCAAGTCTTTCTCTATCGATTAGTATAAAAACCATTTCAGTTGAAACCATTTCAACCGTTTAAAAACCATTTCGACCGTAGTTTAATTGGTGAATTTGTTGGCTTGAAACGGCAGACGAAAACGAACAAAAACACTTATGCATCAACCTAATAGCTATTCTTGGAGTAGAGACGATGAATTCGTCTATTCTTTTTGTCATTCAAAAGCTCAAAGTTGACTCGAAAAACAGATGAACATTTCCGCAAGTTTTAAACAAAATTTTCAAAGTTCTCCAATCAAATTTTATTGATTAAGTTTCATGCGAAAGTGAAGAAATGTCTGAAAGAAAGCTTAAAACCCAAAAAAGGATTTGTATTCGATTGATGAAACACATAAATATCTCTCTTTTTTCATTAAAGAAAATGGATCTTTAAATGAAATTAGAGAAAATTAATCTTTAAATGGTAAACCAAAATGCGCTTCAAAAGAAACCCATTTTGGTGTCAATAGAAAAGTTGTAGGGAATCAAAAATCAAGCTTATCTCCAAATTTCCTTTTTCAGATTCCTCTTTCGTAGTAGGATTTTGGTTTGTGTGTGAGACAAGTGTGAGACACAAAAATGGAGGACTGGAGATGTCCCAATGTCCCAGTTTGGCACTTTCTTCAAAAGAAACCCATTTTGGTGTCAATAGAAAAGTTGTAGAGAATCAAAAATTAGGCTTATAGCGAAATTTCCAAAAAGATACACTTAGTAGTTTCGCTTAAAATGCAAGTTTTGTGAAAGTTTCGTAAATTTGGTCTGAAAGAAATGTCTGGAATGTCTGAAAGAATGTCTAAATGTCTGAAAGAAAGCTTAAAACCCCAAAAAAAGATTTGTATTCGATTGATGAAACACATAAATATCTCTCTTTTTTCATCAAAGAAAACTAATCTTTAAATGAAATTAGAGAAATTAGATCTTTTAATCGTAAATTTATTTAATTAAATTTGCTTTTCAATTACTTTATGCCTTGATTTTCAAATTAAATCAAAATTTTCACATTTCCTCGATTCAAGATTGATATCTTGAATCGAGTACCCTAAAGTCTCGAGTTCTAAGTTCTGCCTTAATTTACATTCGCTTTAATTGCTTTGAATTTCTTTTTGTTGGGTTTTTATACATTTTTATTGTTATATAGACTTTTATTATTGTTCTTGGAGCGCGGGATACTACAGGGTGACAGCCTATCACCATTGCTATTTGTTATATGCATGGATACATCCAGACGATAGTGTTGAAGAAGACGCTGGAAGGCATTCGCTTTCGACCGTCGACGTGGACTTTGACCGGATGAAGAGACCAGGGAGGGATCCATAAGACTGAGCACCGGAGAGGAGCAGTTAAACGCGCCGCGGGACGGACGCGCCGAGCCACGCCCGGAGCAACAAATAACAGCATAAAATTGCTATAACCCTCAATAAATTTACTTCTATTATTGTTCTTAAAAAGCAAAAAAGTTATGCTGCAGCGGGGTTCGAACCCTCGACACACCGCACCGGAGACAGCCGTCAATTTGCATGCGAAAACCAAACAGAACTTATACTCGCGACTTTAGGGTAAATGTGAAATTTTTTTAAAATCAATACTTGAGTCTATTCTTTTTCCCTTCATTTTTCTTTTTCTTTTTTATCTATATTTGAAGGAAAAAAAGTGGGGTTTATGAAAGAAAAGAGCTTATTTCAGAGAGATTTTTCCAATACACAAATCATAAATAAAAAATAGTTGAAAAATGAAAGAAATGCTAGAGAAAGAGGGCAATTCAATAGCTTAATCTTATAGATATAAAGAAAGCAAGAAAGATGAAAAAATTCGATTCTAACCCTCATTTATTTGATCATGAAAGTCGTTCTTGTTACAGGTTTGTCGAATTTTCTCTTGAAAAATCTATTCTTGTCGGGTTAAAGAATATTTTGGTTCTTTGCCCTTCTTTGGCTCTTGAATTTGAAAGTCTAGAGTCGATCACAAAGTAGACTTCTCTAGCATAACAAAGTCTACTTTGTAATCACTTTGACTTTCAAATTCAAGAATTCAAAAGGATGCCAAAGAATTTCAAAGAATCTCGGCATTCTTTGGCATTCTTGGATTTGAATTGGATTTGAATTCTTTGAATTCTTGAATTTGAAAGTCAAAGTGATTACAAAGTCGAATTTGTTATGCTAGAGAAGTCTACCTTTTGATCAAATCTAGACTTTCAAATTCAAGAATTCAAAGAATGTCAAAGACTTTTGTAAGACTTTTTAAAACTAAAATCAATCTTAGATTCCGAGCTTTGCTTTCTATTGTATATCAAAAGCGGCTCTTGACATTTACAAAAAGAGTTTAGCGGTTGAATTGTCGAATTTTCTCTTGAAAAATCTAATCTTATCGGGTTAAAGAATATTTTGGATCTTTGACATTCTTTGACATTCTTTGGCATTCTTGGATTTGAATTGGATTTGAATTCTTTGAATTCTTGAATTTGAAAGTCAAAGTGATCACAAAGTCGAATTTATTATGCTAGAGAAGTCTACTTTTTAATCAAATCTAGACTTTCAAATTCAAGAATTCAAAGAATTTCAAAGACTTTTGTAAAGCTTTTTAAAACTAAAATCAATCATAGATTCCGGGCTTTACTTTCTATTGTATCTCTTGACATTTACACAAAGAGTTTAGCGCTTAAATTATTGAATTTTCTCTTGAAAAATCTAATCTTATCGGGTTAACGAATATTTTGTTTCTATGACATTCTTTGAAATTCTTTAGTGGTTAAGAAATGTAACTAATAATGTAAGTTCTAAGAATATTAAAGTTTAAACTTTACAAACTTTATTTGTCATTGAAAATTTCATAAGCCTAACTTAAAAAGTCATTTAATCTAATCCAAAATAAAATCTCAAAAACTAATCAATTTTAGGAGCCTCAACCGGTCTTGGAAAAGCAATTGCTGTTTATTTTGCGTCAAAGGTAACTTAAAACATTTAAAGCTTAAACACTTCTAATTATGTTTACTAGTAAATGAATAATTTAAAAAAAAAGAAAACCCTGGCCTAATCTTTTCTTTAGTTTTCATTCGATTTGCAAATTTTATTTCATTCAGATCATCATTATTAAAACGGGTTTTCCAAGATTGAAAAATAGCCAAATCAATGATTTTCTTTAAATGCAAACCATGACTTAGAACTTATTAATTTGTGGGCCAAAACGTGGAAGCTTTCCCTATCCCCTTCAAAATCTCAACATTTTTCCACGGGTAATTAACAATATTCCTATCAATTACATTAGTAAATTAGATTTTGTTAGAGATTTAGGTGTCCACATCTCTCCCCCTTTTAATTTCACTAAACATATTGAAATCATTTGTCGAAAAGCTTCTTTTGTTTCTAGCCGTATTCTCAAATCAATTGTTCATCCTAACCTAAACTCTTACCGCAAATGCTTGACGACTTATATCCGGCCCATCTTAGAATATGCTTCTATTGTTTGGTCTCCCCGCGCACAAGTCTTTATTGAACGCTTGGAGAAAATTCAGAGGAGGTTCACAAAAGTCGCTTTATGGAAAATTGACTATTCTAAATATTCTAGCTTTACTTATGAGGAGAGACTTGCTTTTTTTGAACTAAAAACTTTACAGCATCGTCGCTTTGTCATTGATTTAGTCGAAACTTTCAAAATCCTCCGTTGTAAACAGATTAGCCCTTTGTTTATAGACTTTTTCAAATTTAAACCGCGGTCAGGGCCCAGAAGTGGCTCATTCCTTTTGCAAATTCCCTTTGCTTCCAATGCCTCTTTATCAAATTCATTTCCCGTTAGAGCCGCTAGATTATGGAACTTGCTCCCAAACGACATACGAGAAATTCAGTCGCTTTTCATATTCAAGAAACGTATCGATGCTTTAGATCTAGTGGCTCTTTGCCGTAAGTAATTGGCTTATTGATTTCAGTATGTATTGTATGATTAAGTATCACTGTGCATTTCTCTATGATTTCTTTCACTTTATCGTTTGAATAAAGTATTATTATTATTATAAATAAAGTAATTCAATTGGTGTATTTGTTGGTTTTAAATGAAAGTAATAAGATAAAAAGTAAAAATATAAATATAAAAAGAAACAAAGAGACTTTTTGAATAGTCTAATACTTGTCAGTACTTATTGTAAAAGTTTATTGTAGAGTTTTTTAACTAAAGCTAAAGTTAAACCAAATATCGCTTCAGGGATTTGCTGTTTCAATCACCGCTCGTTCAGGAGATGCTCTTCAGAAAACAAAAGCTGAATGTGTTGCGGCTGGAATTAAAGAGAATAAGGTACACTTTTGTTAAGCTTTTATTGGACAGCTGAATTTTCTGCTCTTTTTTTTTGTTTATTTATTTGTTTAAGAGAACAAATTTTGTGTTATACCGTATTTCTTCGAATAGAAGACGGGGTAAAGAGTATCATAGCGTACTCGTGCGTAGCAGCCCTTTTTAAAATTTCTTTTCTGCACAAAAGTTTTCAATGAAGTGCTATAGGGCTGGAAAATGGTTCAAAAAAATCTGTTAGCTCATGTGGTATTTTTGAGTCATTTTCCAGCCCTATAGCACTTCACTGAAAGCTTTTATGCAGAAAAGAAATTTTAAAAAGGGCTGCTACGCAGGAGTACGCGATGATACTCTTTACCCGGTCTTCTATTCGAAGAAATACGGTATTCTAGATTGTAATCACTGTTGGAGATCTGACCGAATTGAGCACAGCTGAAGCTGTAGTGAAAAACACAATTCATCAACTCGGTTCAATTGATGTTTTGGTGAGGAGATTTCGTCAATTTCAAGTTCAGCGTTTAGATCAACAGCTTTTAGATCAACAATGCTGGTTATCTTCAATTCGGAGCTCTTTCCACGGCAACTGTTGAGGATTTTGATAAGCAAATGAATCTAAACGTTAGGAGGTAATTCTGATTATTCAATTATCTGATTCTGATTCAATTATTCAACTGATTACAATCAATTGAATAATTGAATTTAAATATTTTGATATAAAAAAGGGATCAAAAAAAGCATTTAAGTCTTCATCAAATCACTCGTCTTTCCATTCCACATCTCCTCCAATCAAAGGGAAATATTGTTAACGTCAGCTCGATTGGATCGATGACGCCGGTATGGTTAAAGTTAAAGTAAAAGTAATCATCAAGTAGACTAGAGAACCTGCTAGAGAACCTGCTAGAGAAGTCTACTTTGTGATCAAATCTAGACTTCCAAATTCAAAAATTCAAAGAATGTCAAAGACTTTTGTAAAACTTTTTAAAACTAAAATCAATCTTAGGTTCCGGGCTGTGCTTTCTATTGTATGTCAAAGGCGGCTCTTGACATGTACACAAAGAGTTTAGCGCTTGAATTGGCTCCACAAGGAGTTCGGGTTAATAGTATCAAGTAAGTAAAAGAAATAGCAAATTGAAAGATATGCGAATCTAAAATCTGATAAATTTAGCCCTGGCTTGATTATGACCGAATTCTCGGTGAATGCCGGTTTAGCCACACAGGAAAACAAGGCTGAGGTAGAGACAAAATGTGATTGTTTTTAGTTTTTTTGATCTGTCTTTGTATGAAGGTGTTCCCAGTACACAACCTCCTTCCACATTTCTCTATCTCTTGCTATTGTCATCCAGTCTTTCCTTTCTTGGTTGTTCCTGGTTCGAAGTCTTTGACTTGCTTGTGCTGGGCTTGTGCTGGGCTTGTGCTAGGCTTGTGCTAGGCTTGTGCTGGGCTTGTGCTAGGCTTGTGCTAGGCTTGTGCTGGGCTTGTGCTAGGCTTGTGCTAGGCTTGTGCTGGGCTTGTGCTAGGCTTGTGCTAGGCTTGTGCTGGGCTTGTGCTGGGCTTGTGCTAGGCTTGTGCTGGGCTTGTGCTGGGCTTGTGCTGGGCCTGTGCTGGTGGTGATTGCACTCTAGCCATCCTTTCTTTCCTTTCTCTTTCTCCTTTCTCTTTCTCCTTCCTAATCATCCTTTTTAGTAACTGCCAAGTTGTTTCTAAAGTTAGAATCTATTTAGAGATACAATCAACTTGGATCCACGAATCCACTTGGAAGAGCTGCATCTCCGGATGAGGTTTGACTTTCTTGACTTTGAACCAAAAAACATGATTACAAACACAAGATTAAATTCTAAAAGATGACAAATTCAGATTGCAAGAACTGTTTATTATTTGGCAAGTAAGAACAGCTCATTCACAACTGGAACGATCATGGTGAGTGACGGAGGACGTTTGCTCGGCTCTGCACCAGCTCTCTGGAATCAAGCACAAAAGCAATAAATTTATCATTTTGAGAAATCTATTAAATCTATTCAAAATTCTATTTAAATATTCTTATTTTACAATAAAAACTTTGCATTTATTTTGAGAAAAACCATACAAAAAAGTTATGGAAAATTTGATACAGCTCTTTTCCCATTGTCTAACTTTGAGATCATATATCTTGGTGTTAGGCTATCGAATTTAAATATTATTGATATAATTAGATGCGCCAAGTCTTTTTCTATCGATTAGTAGAAAAACTATTTCTATTGAACAGCTAGATAGGAAGATATTTGAGCTTAAAGTCGGATTGTCAATGGGAAAGGAGCGGATTGCAATTTGCGAATGACGATTTGTCAATGGCGTGTATTAAATGTCCCATAATCCAAAAAGCTGATACTAAAAAGCTAGAGCTAAAGCCAAAAGTCATAACTGAGCAAGTAGTTTTGATCTATTTATATAAATTCAAAGTGATTTGGTAGAAATAGGATTTAAACCAGAGCTTGGCTATTTAGCATTGGTTTCGCCTTCAAAATCGATCGACCCAACTCTAGAACGGCACTGATTTACATAAATCAAAATACCGTATTTTCTCTAATAGTAGTGCACCTTGATCGTCGTTTAAATTGCTCGAAATCTCGTAAAGTGCTTATAGAACCTATCGATGTGGGGTCGGAAAGTGTAGCTGACAATGAGATCTAGTGGAGGATTAGTGTTGAGCTTCTGTGAAAACTTTGAAAGCTGGAAAATAGTCATCAACTCGGCTCGTCGGAGTGCACTACTATTAGAGAGAATACGGTATGTAAAATTTCAGAAAAACCAGATAAAACTAGAGTTAGATAGCTGGTTTGATTTCTGGATTTGCTCAGAAACATGCAAATGCAAATGACATGCAGCCTGTAACAGAAACAGAAACAGAAACAGAAATTACCGGATTCTCTCTAATAGTAGTGCACGCTAAGCGTCGCCTAAATTGCTCGAAATCTCGAGAACCGCTTATGAGAACCTATTGATGTGGGGTCGGAAAATGTAGCTGACAATGAGATCTAGTGGAGGATTAGAGTGTTGAGCTTCTGTGAAAACTTTGAAAGCTGTAAAATAGTCACCAACTCGGCTCGCCGGGGTGAGAGAAAATACGGTATATATTGAATTTCATCTGTGCATTATCACAAAAACTGAAAAATCCTCAAATCCAGCTTAACAACTTTCAGGTAACGTCAATTTTTGAGACATCAGACTTTAGAACTCAACAAAACTCGAGAATCTGGTGACCAGTTAAACGGTGATCAAAAGCTATCACTCAGACTTCTCCAATCTCTTTTCTGATTTGAAATATTTCAACGATCACTGATGGATTGTCTTCTTTTCCCCTTGTTCTTTCTCCCTTTTCACCTCGATTTTGTGTTCTCACTTCCTATCTTTCTTAATCGACCGTTGAACCAACAGCTGTCTCATTTCCTATTAACATGATTTTTCTGAGATCTTCCATTTCCAAAATCTTGCCCCAAAATTTTTCCGTTCAAAACTGGTTATAGTTGAACTTGAGTATCAATCCATTAAAATTCCTATTCAGTTTTCAATTCCCGATTTTTCAGTAACTTTTTACGTTTTTCATTAGCTTTTCTTATTCCTTAGCTTTCAAGTTTCAGCGCTAGACTTTAGTTTTTAAGTTTTTAAGAGATAGTTTTTAAGATTAAAGGGAGCGGGACAAATGCTACCTTTTTTTGCGCACCCCGAACATTTGCGCACCTTTTTTTCTGCACCTTGCCCATTAGCGCACCTTTTTTCGTGTTTTAAAAAGCTCTAAAAGTTAATATTAACCAATTTCTATTCCAAAAGTTGTTTTTCTAGGTAATTTTAGGGCGTAGAATCGAAATTTTGGCATATCAGAGCTTGTGGAAGCGAACAGACGGAGTTATACAAAGAGAAAAATCAACAATTTGAAATTTCTGTAATTTGACCTAGCCGTTTTGTCTTTTAAATTGGTTCCACACGCTCTGATATGCCAAAATTTCGATTCTATGCCCTAAAATTACCTAGAAAAACAACTTTTGGAATAGAAATTGGTTAATATTAGCTTTTAGAGCTTTTTTAAAACGCGAAAAAAGGTGCTCTAATGGGCTAAGTGCGGAAAAAAAGGTGCGCATATGTCCGGGTGCGCAAAAAAAGGTCGCATTTGTCCCACTCCCAGATTAAATTCTTTTCATTAAGCATTATGATTAGCAAAGAATCACAAAGTTGCCTAGACTTTTCAAAAAAATTTTCCTTTAAACAAGTAATGTCCTAATGGAGTTTTTGGGTGAACGGAAATTGATGGAGTGGTTCTTTCAAAAAAAACGAAATGTTTAAGCCTTTTTGAGACCGGTGAACACATTTCCGTTTTTCTTTTTCCTCTTTTCTAGATAGAGTTCGAAAAATCGCTGTTCTATTGGTCTTTTTGTGGCAAAGAAGGCACAAAGTCTTGAAAATTTATGCATTTGAAGAACCACTCCCCTGAATGCAATCGGAAATCTTATTTTAAGGGTTTTCCGTGAACTTTATCAATGGTCTTTGAATTTTGCGGGCTAGGCTAATTTCCGCAATTTTTTTTTTGCGCAACTCGCCATAACTTTCTTCTAAGTGGACCAATCTTTATGATTTTGATGTCATTTTGTAGATCTCAATAAGTGCAACAAAATGACATTAAAAGCTTAAAGATTGGTCCACTTAGAAGAAAGTTATAGCGAGTTGCGCAAAAAAAATTGCGGAAATTAGCCTACCCCAATTTTGCGCTTTGTCAATGATCGCTTTGTCTTTGCAATCTTCTTTAGTCATTTTTTAGTTTTTCATTTGCAAATTTGTTGTAAAAACTTTCAAAAAATTACAATAAATTAAATGTAATGTAAATTACAGCAAATCTAGTGATGTTTGTTGCCGTAACTTGTGTTTTAAAGCGATCCCCTCAAATAGAGCGACCTCTTTCTTTCACCAATTTTTTTATTGCTCATTTTCTAGAAGGCATTATTTTTTAGTCAAGCTCTTTTCGATTGAAAAAAGTACTTACCTACCTTAATTTTTTTTTTTAGTTTTTCTTATTTTAACACTTTTGCTACAATGTTTAATATTTTTCTTTAGTTGATGGTCGAAGAGATGCGCGAGACGATCATTGAGCCAATAGCAAACGGTGAACGAATCGATCGACGATTTGATTGAATTTCGGGATCGTCGTAATTTCGAACAAGGATTGAACAAAAGCTTCGATGAAGAGGCACGTGTTTGCAAAATCAAAGCAAAAAACACGGGAAAAGGAAAAAAAGGGGCATTCGATGTAAAAAAGAAACTGGAGATCCTTGAATCCACCAAATCGAACTCAATCCACGCGGCTGCAAAGAAGTTCGACGTGACACAATCATCAATTTACGATTGAAAGAAACAAAAAAATCAACTCAGCGATCCCAACGGCAAGAGAAAGCGAATCGATGGCGGTGGAAGGCATTTGCTGCGGGTAGAAGTTGACCAATCAATTGCTGAATGGATTCGATCTCAACGAGATGAAAAGATCGTTTAGGGAATGTGCTGTGATCATTGCTTTGTACGGGACTGAGGATCATCTTATTCACTGTTTCAACCGGTCATTTCAACCAGATGGGATGGGGTCATTCCAACAGGTTGATCCGTTATTGTTTTACTATTAGGTTGATGCATAAGTCTTTTTGTTCCTTTTCGTCTGCCGTTTCAAGCCAACAAATGCACCAATTAAACTACGGTTGATTTCATTAGAAAAAGCAATTATTTTTCTGCAAAATAACATTAAAACGGGTTTAAAAATATTTAATGCCTGGATTTTCTTGAGAGTATGAAGTCGGGTAGTCAAAAAGGGCTAACTCGATGATGCGGTTTAGACACCTTAGCTAAAGAAAACCTATCTTCGTGTCAATAGATAAAAGATAGAGAAAAAAAACGTTTGATATTTCGCCAAAATTTCAGAGAAATTCATTCAGCCAATTTTTCCGTAGAGTTTTTTATAGATTTTTACGAAAAAGGCGTTTTTCACTCTCGAATTTGCTTGAAAGTGAACCGAAATTCATTTAAAAAGATGCAAATTGAACAAAAAAACACTTTTTTTATAGAGCAAACTATAGATTAATTCGTGAATTTGTTACTTTTTAACAGAAGTACGAAAAAAACGAAAAGACTTATGCATCAACCTATTAATTTTTTATTGTTTTAGGTTACGAAAAGTTGAAGAATGCTCGTCTGGATCAAGAAATGGTCGAGCTTTTGGGGAGAATTGAACACAAACGTCGATACAAACGTTGAAGAAATCGATAATACAAACGATGATTTGAATCTTTTCGACTTTGATCGACTTTCGACTCCTCTCGATCTTGCTGGCTAATTTTTACCTTTCATAATTGTTATTTTTTTAATTTTGTTAATATTCTATAAATTTTTTGAGACATTTTCTTTAACAGAAATAATATTTGTATGATCCTACATGGTTCTTTCAAATTAGAGACTATAAATAGAAGGGTCAGTCGCTCTAATGCAGCATTTAGTAGTTGAAATTTGATACTTTTTTTTATTATCTTCATTGTCCGCCATCAATTCCAATTTGCAACCAATTTTCCAGGTTTTCATGCTTCCAAGATGAGTCGAGGCTCTACAAATGTAGACTTAGGATTATCAATTCTAATATATTTCTGTTATTTCATCAACGTTTCTCTGGGAGAGCAATTTATTGTGAATTCAATCGAATACGGGAAAATTAGAGGGAAAATTGTTGAGGTAAGTTGTTCAGAAAAGGAAGAGTAAGGCATAAGACAGTTCCCTGGCGGAAAGCTACACGTGTTGGTGTAGCTTAGAGCCAAGCCACAGGTAGAACGTTCGCCTGGTGAGCGAGAGGTCGCGGGTTCAAATCCCAGCGCCGATGTTTTGTATTCCCAACTGATCAAAGAATCGTCTAATTGAAGAGAGAAATATATTGCTTTGCTAATTTCATGATTTTGAAAAAGTTTGAACTATAGGCTTTTTAAAAATGCAGAATAATTAAATGACTTTGACTTCAGCATCAGCATTCAGCAAAAGAATTTTTGACTTCAGCATGAAGGGCGTAAAGGTGAGGTCTACGAGTCGATTCCTTATGCTCGGCCACCGATCGGCGAGCTTCGCTTTGAGGTACAATTCAACAATCTAATATAAAACTAATTCTCTGTAGATTGTACTTATTTGACTATTATTTGAATTGATGATAATATAATAATTATTTAATTTTAGTATCCAAAAGAGCCCGAGAATTGGAAAGGTATCGTTGACACGAATCGGCGAGTCGCATGTCCACAATACTTGAGCAAAGTAAGACAAAATATCTGATTTATTTGTATAACTGATCCACATGACTCATGGCCGATTGGCTAAGAGCCTTGTATCTTAGTCAAGAGATCAAGGGCTCAATCTCTCGGCTAGATTATTGGTAATAATTGTCTACGAGTCGACTCCTTATGCTCGGCCACCGATCGGCGAGCTTCGAGCTGAACATTGTGTTGTCAAATCATCAATAAAACATTTCTAGGGAATCAATACAGCCGCTGAGATTGAATCAGAGGATTGCCTTTATCTGAAAATTGTTATTCCACTAGATGAACAAGGAAAAGTAAGTGAAAACCAAGAAAAATAAAATAGATTATTTTAGAGATACGAAGAAAAACTACCAATCATTTATTGGATTCATGGAGGGTCGTACATGGTAAGATTTATCTTTAGAGTAGGCTTTAACTTTAGCTTTTAAAGCTTTAACTTTATTTAAAAATACTTAAACTTGATTACTTTTTACTGTAGGTTTTTCCTTAGACTTTTCTCTCAATTTCTTAGACTTTCAGTCTTGTTAAGTATTTATTTTAGGTTGGTGGGAAACATCTCTTCCCAAATACGGGGATTCTGAAAAATTTCTCGATAAAGAAGATCATTTTCGCATTTGTTGATTATCGATTAGGAATTGAAGGTAAAAATCTTGCTTTCAAAAAGCTAAACTTGTTTGATTTAGGGTTTTTGACGATGAGAGAACCGGGACTTCCTGGGAATTATGGTGTTGAGGATGTGTTGTTAGGATTGAAATTTATAAAGGTATGGGGAACTTTTTGAGAAAAGATATCAAAATTATGATCAAGATTAAGTTTTAATCTAGTATTAAACTATTAGAATAACGCTGATCACTTTGGTGGTGATCCGGAGAAGATCATTGTTTCTGGTGAGAGTGTCGGAGGAACATTGGCTGGTCTCATCGCTGTCACTCCGAAAGCTCGAGGTATGGATTTAAATAGAAAATTCTTTAATGAATAGAAATTGACTGCATTTTTAGACGTAGATCGTAGTTTGGTATGTTTAGAATTGCTTTTAAATCAAACAAAAAATCTCAGCTAAAATTTAATGGAAGCTCTTCAAAAAGATAGCTCTTAAATGCATTCTTCTCCCTTGTATACCCTCTTTTTTTTGAGCGAAGCAGAGGCCGGATAGCTCAGTGGTTAGAGCATCTGCCCACCAATCGCTTTCGAGGTGATCTGCCCGGGGGTTCGATCCGCTAAGAAATCTATCTTTGCCATTTCTTCCATTTTTTATCACTGTATCAACCTTTTTTTCTACAATTCAGATTTGAGCTCCGGTGTGATGATGTTCTCGGGCACACCACAAGCCACTTGGGCAGTTCGCAATCATTTTACGGTAGACGCAATTCCCTTCATTCAACGAGAAAATTTAGGAAATCAATTCAGCGATTGTGATCAACTATTGCAATTGCTCAAGAGGATCTGCGGAAAATGTGAAAAATTGCATGAAAACGGTTTGAATTGTTGTAGTTTTTCATTTAAAGAGTTCAGATTTCACTAGAGTGCTTTCAAAAAGGCGTTGACGAAATCCAGGCTCAAGTGAGAAAGGATGGATTTTCTAGGGCAAGTTTTTCACAACATAATTAATTTAATTTAAAGTAAAATTGAAAAAATAAATCGATTCTTTTGGTCTTAAAATGATGCAGAGTTGATCCAGACTTATAAACGGACAATTCAAGCTTTAACAACAAGTTTTTCTTTGTTTTTCTAGTATTTCTTTTCTATTTCTATTTCTATTCCTGGAATTTCTAGTACAGTAAATGATAGAGTGGATTTAGTGCATCAACTAGATTGAATACAGCGTCAATATTCATCCAGACTGATCCAGACTTGTAGACGGACAATTCAAGCTTTTCAGCCTTAAAGGGGGGGGGTATTAATCGCGGCCGGGTGAAGATAAAAATTTTTTACGGCAACCACCTGTTTTTTTATTTTAATATCGCTGATTTTATTATAAAAAGAATAAAAATCACCCGGCTAGAGTGATTTGATGGGTTTACAAATTTTTGGAGATGCTGCAAGGCTTGGAGGAAAACAAGATCGTCACTCATCAAGACACCTCAGCACAGTCTAGATCGATTGAGTTTTAGTTGCAGATAAATTTAAAAACAAAATAAAAAGCACAAAAAGTAATAAAAATAAATTGTTAATCTATAATTCTTCCTCTTGCTCACTTTCATCTTCGCTCAAGTACAGCAGTTCGGCTCAAGTACAGCAGTACAAATCGGCTTCCTATCTTATCAATTTCCAGCGCATCTTCACCAAAAGTGACTGGATCTCCTCCATCGTAGGACGTCTTCAGCGCTTTGATTGACACAATTAGATCTTGTTTCATTTGTGGTCGCTTATGGTTTTAGTTTTCTCAAATAGGTGCCTTTTAGCTGAGGTGTCTGATGAGTGACGATCTTGTTTTCCTCTAAGCCTTGCAGCATCTCCAAAAATTTGTAAACCCATCAAATCACTCTAGCCGGGTGATTTTTATTCTTTTTATAATAAAATCAGCGATATTAAAACAAAAAAACAGGTGGTTGCCGTAAAAAAATTTTTATCGTCACCCGGCCGCGATTAATACCCCCCCTTTAACAACAAGTCCAGTTGTTTTTCTAGTATTTCTTTTCTATTTCTATTCCTGGAATTTCTAGTAAAGTAAATGATAGAGTGGATTTAGTGCATCAACTAGATTGAATACAGCTTCAATCAATATTCAATGCCGTACTCAAATCATTCAGATCTATAAAATACTATGCAATAAAGAAACCAATACTTAGTCGATCTCTTGTAAAGTAAAAATTTCTGAATTAACATTTGAAATTAAGATCTTTTCCTATATTTAATACATCTAAATGCTTAAAATTGTTCAACTTTTCATTTCATTTAGATGAGATACGAGTTGATCCGAATGGGTTTCACTGTCACTACACCAATTGTCGACGATTTTCGAAAAAATGACTCCATCATCCCGCTAAAACCGGAAGAATTAGTGAGGTAGCTTCGAAATTCTCACCTTTTTTTTATGGAATTGAAATTGAATTGCGAAAAAATCCAAGATTTAGACAAAATGCTCGAGTTAAAGCTTTGATCAGCAATGTTGCTCATGATCGATCATTTGCAACAAATATGATAGGTTAAAGAAATGATAATTTATAGCTAAAAAGGTTTTAGCTAAAACGGGGAATTCTCGAATTGATGTTTTGATTGATCAAATGATTCTAGAAGGATCGGCTTCGGGTGGAGTGTTGAAAAAAGCGTTGAGAGAGAAGTAAATTGTTTACATTACAAGGATTTTTGATACCGAGCTATGCCCAAACTGTGTAACTGTTACGTCCGCATCTGAGGAGACGTCCATCTCGGATCCGGACGTCCGAATCTGAGGAGATTCATTCTCCTCTGAAACGGACGTCCGACTCAGAGATGGACTCTGAGTCGGACGTCCGACTCAGATTCGGACGTCCGGATCGGAGATGGACGCCCCCTCAGACGTAACATAACTATCAATATTCTTAGATATGCTCCAGCCAGTCTCTACAATAACACGGAAAAATCAAGACGGCTATGTCAACTATTGATTGGTAAAGGTTTTTTAAATTATTATGAGATTCGACTTCAAAAGATCAACGGATGCTTTAAAAGGCTTCTGGCTAGAGGGGAAAAGGTACTTTGATGGCCTAGTGGATAAGCCATTAAACTTCCACCCACAGGATCAGGGTTCGACCCACGATACAACTTTTTGTTTCGCTAGATTTTCGATTGAAGTTTTGGAAGTTATTTGGCAGATTTTGGTTTCAGATTCGGATTCCTCATAGCCAATTCTATAAAGTGTCTAGACCAAAGCTCACCTTGCCTTTCCCTGGTTAGAATTGGCTAGTTCAATCAAATTTTATTTTGTATCATGCTGACTCGGTGTCTTTTCCTAGTAAGTACAAAAATGACTACTGTTACCAAGACTACTGACAAACAGTCTAAACAGTTACTTTCATTTAGACGAAATGCTAGCTGACGCCCATCACGAGGCGCTACTCTATTCGGCAAATGGAGTTCCCGTCTTTCCGATTTTCAACGACATCTTCGATCAACCAACAGGTTTTGAGCAATCCTATTAGTTTTGATTAAATGCAAAGTGATTCATGGAGATTTTTAGGTGGTGCTGATATGAGTCTTGCCTCTCAACACTGTAGAGATTTGTCCCTTCTCTTTGAGGCACCCGGACTTGTTAGTCCAACACTTACACTAACGTTTGTTTTTCAAAATTAGAGTTGTTAGAAATTTTTACTGTTTTTAGTCCTAATCAAATGCTTTGGGCTGAGCCATTCACTCAACGACTCGCACAAATTATCACCGATTTTGTTTATAATGGGTATATTTATTTAAAAACAATTCGATATTTCAATATAATTTTAAATTTAGAACGCTTGGCAAAACTTGTTTCTCAAAAATCAATCGAGTAATGACAAGGGTTACGAATGAAACGATTAAGGAAACAGACTTCGCTGTCGATGCATACTATTTTTGGTGAGAAGAGTCAAAAATCAAGCATTTTACTAACATTTTATAAATCTAATATTACTAAATTTTGTGCTAGATTTGTTTACAAATATTCGTTCCTAGATATAAACGGATGTGGACTAGAATTTGGGTTAAGTTAAAGAGAGTGGATCCCTTTTGATATCCCACCATCTCTAACACCCCGACAACCCAACTCAACTCCTCCAACGTATTAGAGGGGAGTCCCTGTGAAATGACCGACCTGTACTGCAGTTGTATAGACCCAGAAGATATGTATCTTGATTTACAGTAGTATAATAAGACGAATAGATTACAAATAAGTGTAAGAGGAAGGGGGGGACTCCAAATGAGAGTCTCATTTGTCCTCCTAGGCAGTCCCAAGGACCGCCCCTTCTCGGCAATAAAAGGGATAAGCACAGGGGAGGACACATTTGCATAAGAATAGACAAATCATTCAATAATAACAATAGTAACTAAAATATCAGTTTGGCTCGGAGCTGACACAAATAAGATCTAGATTTTGAGTATGATACAAGTAGAAGAAAGTGAAAAACCAATCAATCTTTGCCTTTTAGGAGAAGCCTTCTACCGACACTTCAAAGTTTAAACGTTTATTTATCTCGAGAAGTAATCGTCCCGGAATTTCTTTCCGCGATTTCTCGCGATTTCTCGAATTGTGATGATTATTGTATTGAATGTAAAGAAATCTACAAGTTGCCTTTTTACGGATCTCTGTTGTTAGCGGTAAGTAATTTTTAGCTTTAGATCAGGCAATTATTAGGTTGGAAAGAAAGTTCTCGGAAAAAATTTGGCTGGAATTTCTTAAAAACGAATCCACCAATTCAAGAACATTTTCTTCGATTATTTACAAGTCAAAGGCAAAGAGACTCCAAGAAATTACTCGTAAAAAAACGATAGCAGCTTTCCCTTAAAGATTTCCCTTTTAGAGATTTTTGAAAAATGATTATTTTCCAGCTTTAATTCAGATCACTTTTTGCACGAGAAAAAATGATTTCTTATGATGTAAAGTTAGCATAAATATATATATATATATATACCGTAAATACTGTAATAGTACCCCACCCCGATAATGACGGTGCGAAGTGTTGCGTAGTCTAGCTTTGAACGAATTTTTCTCGACACTGGTTTAAGCTACAATGCGCGCTTAGGTATCAAAAAATAGCTGAAATTCAGGGCAATTTTTTGATACCAAAGACGCATTTTTTGAAAGTACGGGTGCTTTGAAAAAAATGAAATACTAAAAAACTTTTCCGACTACGCGACTGTACGAGGGGGGTGGGGTACTATTACAGTATTTACGGTAGATACTTTATTCAGGACCTGAGATAATGTGCGCTAGATTTAAGATTAAAACACATGAATTCATACACATAACACGAAAAGGGCCGATAAAAAGCAACACGATATAATATATGGGTAGCACAAATAACAAATAATAAACGAAAAATATGCTCTATAATCTCTATTTTTGATCAAAAATTTTTTACGGAGAAGCTGTATTTTAAAAAGTGACTTTTTCGTGTCATCTTCTTGGCACTGAATGTTTGTTAAAATAGGTGATTCTGAAAAGTTGCTTTAACTAAATCAAAAATTTGCCTTTACCACAAATTTTCCCTATTTTAAGTACTTGATTTTAGGTTTTGAATGGGACCCATTAAAAACTTATCTAAAGGCTGATCACTCAAAAAATGATCAAGTCACTTCAGCTGAAGAAATCTCTTTTTTTACCTGAAGCTCACTCTGATTCTTTTTCTTTTTTATCAAAAACTTTTTAAAATATAGTCAAGTTTATCAAAAAATCTGGGAAGAATTTATGGTTTGATTTTTGAGAAATCACCGTGCAAACTTTTTTCCCAGAACTTTCTTTCCAACCTAATACAATTCAATATGATACTTTTATCTTATCAAAATCAGTACTTTCATCTCTCACTTGAAAGTAGTAAACATAAAAACGTAGTTATTAGCAACATTAACACCAAGAACAAGTCTAGATTCTCTTTGGCACCGGTTTACTTGTATTCTGTGTCCTCTATTTCAACTCTTCAAGACACATGCCATTATTAATGTTGGATGAGCAGCCAATAAAATAGATGTGATCTCAAATAAATCTATTAAGTTTAAAGGTTTTTGAGAAAACACCGTGCAAACTTTTTCGAGAACTTTCTTTCCAACCTAATACAATTCAATATGATACTCTTATCAAAATCAGTACTTTCATCTCTCATTTGAAAGTAGTAAACTTAAAAACGTAGTTATGAGTAACATTAACACCAAGAACAAGTCTAGATTCTCTTTGGCACCGGTTTACTCGTATTTTGTGTCCTCTATTTCAACTCTTCAAGACACATGCCATTATTAATGTTGGATGAGCAGCCAATAAAATAAATTCTATAAATGTGATTCGAAATAAATGTATTAAGTTTAAATTGTCATTTTTACTTCCAAGTTTCATCCAAAAGTTAGCAATACCGTGGAAACTAGTCTCCTTTTTCTATTTTGTGCTGTTTGTGCAGACGAAAAGCCGACGAACTTTGATTACTGTAGCTGAAGCTTGCGGACGCGCCATTTGTGCACCATATTTCTAACATTTCTCACTCTTATTGTGTAATCTCTTTCTTTAACTTCTTTTTCTCTTTAGAAAGTTGTTTGTTAAATTTGTTGACGTACCAGTGGGCTTAATGGAAGACTTTATCCATCTTAGTCTATGCAAAATTACCCCTCAGCCCACTCCCAAATATTCTCTTTCTTGTTCACTGTTTTTAATTTCAAGAAATAATGTTTTTATTTTCAGGTGATGCATCTTTTCGGACGAAAATTCGGACGGATTCGAGGAATTTCGAGAGCGAGAAAATAAGCTGAATGGATTCTTCGAGAAGAGCCGCGAATATATGAGGGGTCTCGATCAAAATCATGAGAAAATCGGGAACAACGCTATGATTCAAGAGGATTCGAATGTGGTTCGAGAAGGGGAGAACGATTTGGATGACGAGATTTTGGATCTTCTCGAAAACTAGGATATTTAAGGGATTTCAAGTTAGAAGCTGTGAGATACGCAAAAGGAATTTCGAGGCATGCAGCATAGAAAAAGTACGGCGTCACCTGTGCGATGATTCGATAATGCTACACAGTGATCATGAAAAGACAAACGCTGGTAATTTAAAAGTTTCACCAATGGAAGTGCAATGAATTGTCGATTCTTGGAAAACTTTGTCAAAAGATCTCATCGAGAAATCATTCAAGATTTGTGGAATCATAGTTGATGTGGATGGACTTGAAGATGATCAGATTGGATGCTTTGAAAAGATGGAGCGATTCCCAGATGATTTCTGATGCACGCATTGGCGAATTTTGTGCAGAATTGCTTGAACAAATCGATCTGCACGATTGATGGATGTGTAGACAGCAATCTTTCGATTATGGCTGAGTTCTAGGATTAAATCTGTGAAGTTTGTTGATAAAATCATAATTATTTAGAATGAATTTATTTCTAATTTTGTAAAAAAACAATGGGCACTAATATCCGATAAACAATAAGCAACAATTATCAACAAAGTTATCAACAAATATTGTTTGTTGGTAATTGTTTATCGGATATTAGTGTTCATTGTTTGTTTACAAATTAGAAACAAATCCATTCAAAATAATTATGATTTAAAATGATGATTGATTGCCAAAGGTTTTTGAAAATTTGTGAAATGTTGCAATTTTGCTTTTGTGAGTTTAGAAAAAAAGGTTGGGGGTGGGACAAATGCGACCTTTTTTTGCGCACCTGGACATTTGCGCACCTTTTTTTTGCTGGAAAAGGCCTTAGGCAAGGTCGTAGAGCTTCAAAAATGTTTTCATAGAAGGGAATCGTATACGTAGATTCAGAATTTCGACAAATCGGACCTCTATGACACATCAAATTTGGGCTAAAAGGCAAAAACTGCGGAAAAGCGTTAAGTTGCGTAGTTTTTGCCTTTTAGCCCAAATTTGACGTGTCAGCGAGGTCTGATTTGTCAAAATTCTGAATCTGCGCATACGATTCCCTTCTATGAAAACATTTTTGAAGCTCTAAGGCCTTTTCCAGCAAAAAAAAAAGTGCGCAAATGTCCAGGTGCGCAAAAAAAAGGTCGCATTTGTCCCACCCCCTGGATTAGAGTTTTTACGTTATCTTTGTAGTGTTAGGTTGAAAAGTTAAAGTTAAATTTCAAATTGAAGCATGAAATTTTTAGCTTCACCAATTATTTTGCCAAACCTTTAATTTGCAATACAAAAAAAATAGATAGAAGTCTTTATTCTCATATTGTGCACTTTTTGATGCCACAGTTTTTGTGTGCTTTTTGAAGCACTGACACTCGTATTTCTCTGTGAGTCACTTTTCCTGTATTTCCATGGCATTAGAATTGAGAGCACCAAGCGGCGGATCTTTTCCACCTAAAGCTGGGGATTATTGACAAGATTTTTAAGCTTTTTAGTCATAAGCTAAGTGTACTTTGTGCTCAAATAATGAAAACGTCAACTGGTGTATTCAATATGGCGTATTTGAACGATATGCTTTCTTTTGATCATATTTATCTAGTTTTTGAATAAGTCTAATTTGTGTCTCGTGTTTTCTACTTCTAATTACCCTTTCCTACAAGTGTATCAAAGAAAAAAATCATTTCAGACTCGATGTGATTTTTATTAATTTTTTTTTGGGATTTTTATTAATTTGACTTTTTTCAATACCAAGCCAACGTTTTTTATAAAAAGAGATTTAGCAATTTTCCAGATTTTTCAAGAGTTCTATCTTTCTATCTTTCAGTTGAGGAATATTGTATTCAATTATCAACTATCTCACCATAAACATCCCAATCAATGGTATCAACAGTGTTGATCCGATCACCGCGTAAATATTCGCCGGTCGGGTAAACCAAATCGGTACAGTAAACACTACAAAAAAAAGGTTTTGAAATTCAAAAAAATGAAAACTCACATCCAGTAAATATCGCAAAATTTGAGATCATTAGAAAAAATATGGCAAAAAACGGGACAAATGATTGAAGAAAACATGAGTAGAAGATTTGTTTTTCATCGGCTTTGATTTTACCTGAGAAATCGGAATCTAAGGAGAAAATGCTTCAAGATTTTCAAAAATCTCACCGATTGAGGCTAACTTTTTGATGTGTTTGTAAGTGAGGGTGTTTAACACGATTCCACTGGCACTTCCAGAGAAGACATATAAAGTATATAACTGAAAATCGAGTGACAATGATTCTAATGTTATTAGAATGTGACTCTGATGCTCTCATTTACATATTACACGTGTATTTAGGACTCAACGATCTGTCAACCAGAACTTAGACTCTGGCCAGGTCTAGGCAACTTAGACTCCTTGGCTAGGAAAGTCCAGAACAGGACTGGTTTCTAGCCTGGCCCTGGTCGTACCTGCCTTATCTGTGCTTTGAAAAATTCCCTTTTAGGCCAATCCTGGTTTCATTTAACTCCTTTTACAACTTAATTAGAACAACTGTCGAATTTTCTGAATCGAATCTTGTCTATTGACAAACCTGTGGGACTGGATCCATTTTGAGATAAAGTAACATTGTACAAGTATCATTTGGAGTCGGTACACCAATCAGAAAATGCATTGAGTCGACGATTAGCTGAAATTAGTTTAAAATTACCAATTTAAAACCAAGAACTCGCTCCACAAAGTGTTCTTTGTGTTCAAGCAGAAACGCACCTCTTTTAACTCACTGGATTCTTTATTTTCTTTTAACTAAAGTCATTTTCGGCAACTAGGCTTTTTGGGCACAAATTAATTGATATAAGATGAGATTAAGTGTGCCAGAAATGATGCGTTTTCAGCACAAAGTACTCACTATTGGAATCCACATTCCAAAACAAAAATCGAAAATCTCATTGTTGTTTGATGACCACTTACTCTTACAGATTTTGATTACAGATTCGGAATTGATTACAAATTCGATTTCCTTTCGAATGAGCTAGGTCTCGTTTCAAAAACAGTAATCTAGTATCTAGTGAGGATTTTACTATGGTACAGTATGGCCCAGGAATCTGAATGCGCCAGAAAGCGGGCGTTTTTATTTTATCACAAGGTTTGCTTCAAAGAAGATCACTCACCATTGGGGTCCACATGCTGAACAAGATTCTCAGTGAGAATTTTAGATTCGTTTGATGACCTCGCACTATTAGTAAATAACGATTTAAGGCAACTACCTAAACAAAAGAATTTAAGAAAAGAAATCTATTAATAAAATTAAATAAAACTTAGTAATAGTAGAGCAGGCTGGAGAGGGGTTGAAAAAATAGTAGTGCGCATTACTATTACAGAAAATACGGTAAATAAAACTTACACTAGGCACAAGAAATGAGCAATACCACATCGTTATTGGAATCATTTTGAAAAGAGTGCATGTAAAGAGAGTGAATTTCAAATCCCCATTTGTGATCTGCATTCCCAAAAAGATCGTCACGTTGTACCAAACGATTGGTGTACCAAGAATAAAACAAGCGAATGACATGAAAGTGATCGTGTTCTGCAAATGCGATCATTTTGAGATCTTTTGAGACATTTTGGAACATTGTAGGACATTTTGAAACATTTTGGAACACTTTAAACTCAAAGAACTTCTTGTTTGGCTGTTCAATTTCAATACTTTTTCTACCAATCGATAGAGAAAGTCTTGGCACATCTAATGATGTCAAGAATATTGAAATTCGATAACCTAACACAAAGAAATTTGGGCTTAAAGTTAGATTGTTAAATGGCTGATAACCTCAGAAACCAAGCCAAGTCTAGAATCTGGCGTCTGCCTTGTTTTGCCTGGCTTTGCTTGATCCACAAAACCAGAATCAAAGTTTAGCTTACCGCTTTCCCTTGTGACAGAAAAAAATCATTAACCAGTAATCAGGTAATCAAAAAAGTAACAGCTTGAACCCTAATTGGGTAAATTTCTGAGTACGGATTTGTTATCGAATTTTTTACCGGTAGACACTATCAATTTATCATTCGTGCTGTCTATTATTAAATATTTCCAGTTTTTTTGTACAAAAAGCTTTTATTTGAATGTAAATCTAAAATAAAAAAGGCTTTATATTGGGTTTTTCGCTTTCGAAGAATCAAAAAGCTATAGTTAACTAAAACAGATTAAAGTTAGGCCTAGCTAGGCCTATGACAGACCTAGCTAGGCCTATGACAGACCTAGCTAGGCCTATGACAGACCTAGCTAGGCCTATGACAGACCTAGCTAGGCCTATGACAGACCTAGCTAGGCCTATGGCAGACCTAGCTAGGCCTATGGCAGACCTAGCTAGGCCTATGACAGACCTAGCTAGGCCTATGGCAGACCTAGCTAGGCCTATGGCAGACCTAGCTAGGCCTATGGCAGACCTAGCTAGGCCTATGACAGGCCTAGCTAGGCCTATGGCAGACCTAGCTAGGCCTATGGCAGACCTAGCTAGGCCTATGACAGGCCTAGCTAGGCCTATGACAGACCTGATCTGAGCTTTTGGATGTAAATGGCTTTAGATTACGGCAACTTGTACATAGATAATTGTTATTTAATTAGAAATTCAACCCACTCACTACCTCATATTCTTTTCTCAAACTCTTGTCGCGAATCAAAATCCCGCAGAGAAATGTCAAGACAAAGGTGCACGGAATACCGTAACACTGAAATGAATAGAATAATTTGATAACTGAATATCTTTTAAAGAGCTGGATAAAACTGGATTCTTATTTAAATAATTGAATATCTTAAACAATTGAATATCTAGATTCCTAGCTAACCGTTGTAATTCTGGAAGCTCCCCAAAAGAATTGCGTGATCTCATCCGGATCACCGTAATGTCCAATCGTTTCCCACAAACTTTCAGACATAAAAAGGATATTTCAAAGCTTGTCGAATAGAGAAATAACAAAAATAACAAAATATTTATGTATTTGAAAAAGATTTCAAGACATTCCCGAGAGAATTCCCGTGATTTTTCTGGGTACATTTGTTGAAATCACAAACTCAGTCAAACTAATTGCGCGGCCCCGTTTCCGATTGGCAAAAAAAAAGAACTTCCCTAATAATTATGCCAAATTACAGTTCACGTTTTCTTCAGCAATTGTTTCTGAGCTCATTTTTAGTCTCTTTTTGTATAGCTGGATATTTTTAGTGAGAAGAAAAGTTTAATTTATTGCTGTTAGGCAGAAAAGGTCGATTTTTCGAAATTGACTCCTTCCGCATTCTCAAATTAGATGTTTTTGTGTGTATCTTGTTTGAAAATGACTTACTAGTGTTAACAAAGTATAGAGTGAAAAGTATAGAGGAATTGTTAACAAAGTATAGGGTAGAAGTATAGAGGAAATGTAAAGGAAGTATAGAGCAATTGCTAAGGAAGTATAGAGTAAAAGTGTAGAGCAAATGTTAAGAAAGTATAGAGAAAAAGCATAAAGCAAATGTAAAGGAAGTATAGAGTGAAAAGGATAGAGCAAATGTTAAGGAAGTATAGGGTAGAAGTATAGAGGAAATGTAAAGGAAGTATAGAGCAATTGCTAAGGAAGTATAGAGTAAAAGTGTAGAGCAAATGTTAAGAAAGTATAGAGAAAAAGCATAAAGCAAATGTAAAGGAAGTATAGAGCAAATGCAAAGGAAGTATAGGGTAGAAGTATAGAGCAAATGTTAAGAAAGTATGGAGAAAAAGTATAGAGCAGATACTAACAAAGTAAAGAGTAAATGCTAACAAAATATAAAGTAAAAAGCATAGAGCAAATGTTAAGAAAGTATAGAGAAGAAGTATAAAGCAAATACCAACAAATTATAGAGTAAAAAGTTCAGAGCCAATTTTCCTAAGCGCAAAAATGGAAGCACAACCCTGACACACTCTAGTCTTCATTTCAGGGCACTAGTATCTAAAGCTATTCATAGAGACAATTTCCCAAGTCAAGCAAGCCAAAACCAAGGTTTTTAGCATCAAAATGTAATCTATTCAAGCTATGCCAAAGTCTTTGGCCAATTAAAACAATAAGGTTAAAATTTCAGACCAATTGAAAGCCTTTTACTTGACATCACAAGCACTTCTGCTCTACTTCTAACATTTTAATGTTTTCTTGTGAATATAGCCTTTAAATAATTGCTCTATCTGTTTGGCCTTTTTGAGTTCCTCAGGGAAAACGATTCTTGTGACCTTACGTACTTTGTTCTTTGAAAAAAATTAATACAAAAGTTAACCTAATCTTTTTACTATTTTTTCGACACTTCAAATAGTTTTTGTAAATAGAAATGGAATAAAGAAAATAAAGATTAAATTTTGAGTAATCTTTATGCTGAAACTATTTGGAAAGTTTGGGAATTTACGGAGGAAATGAATGCACAAGTTTGCTTCGTTCATCCATGCGAAACTGCCATTTCATCAGCTTACCCACTTAGCGATTGTTAGGTAATCGATTACGATCTCTTTTAATAGAGATACAAGGCCAGCTATTTTTTGTTGACTCTTACCATTCTGGCCTCAAAGTTTGTGCCTCAAATGGCCTCAAATGGTCCTCACCGACTCCTTCCCTGTTACATCCAATTTTTTGTTTAAAGAAACAATCTGCATCAAAAAGAGAAAATCTTTGTGTACAAGGAAGCCAGTAGTTTTCTAAAGCTTTTACTTTACCGTCACTTCCTCAGTCGTTCAGAAGAATTGATCTCATCAGCTTTTCCATAATGATCGATTGCCGGCAAGTCAATTACGATTTGCATTTTGGGAGACTTTCAAAAAAAAAACTAACGATAAACCTCATCTTCTTCTGTAGTTGATAAAAACAAGTACCAAATAGGATTCTCATTGCCTACTTTTGCCTACTTTTTTCTTTTTCCTTTACCTTTTGCTTACTTTTTCTCAGGCAACAGAAAATACATGAATTAAAACAAAAGAGCTTTGTCTTTTTTCAATGTCTTGAAATCAATATCACCTAGAAAGTGAAAGAAATATAAAATGAAAATAATATTGGTCAACGCCAATCTTATTTTCATTTTATATTTCTTTCAGTTAAACCGAAAATGATTTCAAAAGGTTTTAAACAAAGTTTATAGAATTTTCCATGAGAAATGTTCAACTTTTAAGCAAAAATTTGCTCAAAAGAGCTCTTCATTTTGCTTATTTTTGTTTTGTAAAAGATTTAAACAGGCTTTATTTGAATGCTTTCTTTTGGACTACTCGAAGATTCAGTCTTCCATGGCATCAAAGTGTCGAGCACTAAGTGACGGATTTTCTCTACCTAAATCGACGCTTAGAGCAAATTTCTAACAATTAGAACTTCAGAATTTACCATAAACATTCCAATTAATGGTATGAAAAGTGTTGATCCGATCACCGCGTAAATATTCGCCGGTCGGGTAAACCAAATTGGTAAAGTAAACACTAAAAAGTGAATTTGATAGAATTAAAAAAGAAAAAGAAATACATCCTGTAAAAACAGACAAATTTGAGATCATTAAGAATAAAATAGCAAAAAATGGGATAAAAGATTGGAGAAAGATTGAATAGAAAAGCTGTCGATCGTCCATTTTCACATTTCCTTAACAATTTTACTTTATAAAGTTAAAGTTTAGTGTTAAAGCTTTCAAGGAAAACCTTTCTCTGTCTTTTCAGCTAAATTTCATTGCCTCACCGAAAGCGCTGAGCTTTTTGATGTGTCGATAGGTGAGAGTGTTCAATAAAATCCCACTCGCACTACCAGTGAAGACATACAAAGTATACAACTAAAAACTACAGCGATAATGATAATAATATTATAAGAAATTCATTTTCTTTAATAAACTAGTGTTTTAGATCATTGAGCTAACGAAATTAGCTTATTTTACCATGAATTAGAACAATTTTATGTTCACCTGTGGCACAGGATCCATTGAGAGATATAATAACTGCTCACAAGTGTCATTCATTGTTGGTACGCCGATAAAGAAATGAAGTGAGTCAACTATTAACTGTAAAGCATTGGTTTTAATTGATTCTATTGACTAGGGATCGGTACTAGATCATTCTGGGATTTCGAAACAACACCTAGCTCATTCGATAGAAAATCGAAGCTGTAATCAAAATCAAAAGCAATATATTTTGAAAAATAAAAACAAATCAATGTTTGGCTAGTGATGGATTCGAACCCACCACAAAAGACCCGTCGCCAGTTCTGTAAACCATCACACAAGCCACTACACCACAAGTGCCTCTGGGCCGCCCCCCTTTAAACTCGACTTAAGTCTGTAGAACAAAAACTTTGGGTCAACTCCTTGCGAGCTATTCCACAGATTTTGATTACAGATTCGGAATTGATTACAAATTCGATTTCTTTTCGAATGAGCTAGGTCTCGCTTCAAAAACTCACAGTAATCTAGTATCTAGTGAGGATTTTAGTAAGGTACAGTATGGCCCAGAACCCTGAATGCATCAGAAAGCGGGCGTTTTTAGTTTATCACAAGGTTTGCTTCAAAGAAGATCACTCACCATTGGGGTCCACATGCTGAACAAGATTCTCAGTGAGAATTTTAGATTCGTTTGATGACCTCGCACTATTAGTAAATAACGATTTAAGGCAACTACCTAAACAAAAGAATTTAAGAAAAGAAATCTATTAATAAAATTAAATAAAACTTAGTAATAGTAGTGCAGGCTGGAGAGGGGTTGAAAAAATAGTAGTGCGCATTACTATTACAGAAAATACGGTAAATAAAACTTACACTAGGCACAAGAAATGAGCAATACCACATCGTTATTGGAATCATTTTGAAAAGAGTGCATGTAAAGAGAGTGAATTTCAAATCCCCATTTGTGATCTGCATTCCCAAAAAGATCATCACGTTGTACCAAACGATCGGTGTACCAAGAATAAAACAAGCGAATGACATGAAAGTGATCGTGTTCTGCAAATGCGATCATTTTGAGATCTTTTGAGACATTTTGGAACATTGTAGGACATTTTGAAACATTTTGGAACACTTTAAACTCAAAGAACTTCTTGTTTGGCTGTTCAATTTCAATACTTTTTCTACCAATCGATAGAGAAAGTCTTGGCACATTTAATGATGTGAAGAATATTGAAATTCGATAACCTAACACCAAGAAATTTGGGCTTAAAGTTAGATTGTTAAATGGCTGATAACCTCAGAAACCAAGCCAAGTCTAGAAGTCTGGCGTCTGCCTTGTTTTGCCTGACTTTGCTTGATCCACAAAACCAGAATCAAGGTTTAGCTTACATAAAACAAGCAAATGACATGAAAGTTATTGTGCTCAGAATGCAACATGAAATCCTCAAATTATTTATTTACCTCATATTCTTCCCTCAAATTCTTGTGCTTTATCAGAATCCAACAGAGAAAAGCCAACACAGCCGTACAAGGCGTTCCGTAGCACTAAAGAAAACTTTTTTTTAGATAAATCTGGTAAATTGTGAACAGATTTGAGAATTGATACCTGAGAAAATTCCAAGCCTACGTTTGTTTTAAGAAAGCTTATGACACAGCTGGATGACACAGCTGGATGACACAAATGGTAACTCCTACCGACTAGTACTCATTTAGAGTTTAAAATGTTTCATATTACAGATCAAAGATCGAGATCACTTCTTTTTTCGTTCTCTGCTCCGTTTTAAAGCGAACACATTCGTCAATTTCCATTTCATAATTGAATTTTTGCCTTTTTATAGACAAAAATAATTCTTGATTAGAGGCTGGCGATAAATCTAATGGTACAATTCTATTTTAAAAGAAAACTAAGCTATTCGAGAAGTATACAATAAGTTGAAAATTGTTGATTTTTTACTTCATTTTCTAACTACCAATCTTATCGGAGTGAGTTCTGATCGACCCCAAATCCTACGGACTCGCCACGTTGAAACACGGTATCCCGTCAGATCTCCCAAGTTAAGCAACTCGGTTAGTCTCTGATTCGAATCCAGCACATGAGTCAAGGATATCTTCCCCGAAACGAGTGCTTTAGGTAACCGCATCCATATGGTGAACTGGTGAACTGGGATTGGGATAACAAGGGATCCAAATGGCTAGACTTTTCTAAAGCGCAAGCTCAAGCGCAAACTAAAGCGCAGGCTAAAGCGCAAGCTAAAGCGCAAGCGCAAGCTAAAGCTAAAGCGGGTAGCTTTCTCCTTCTGCATTATTATAGAAAATTTTGGTTACATTGTATATAAATTTCTATAGATTATCATTGAGATAACCAGGGATCCAAATGGATAGACTTGTCTAAGGCGCAAGCTCAAGCCCAAGCTAAAGCGCAAGCTAAAGCCCAAGCTCAAGCCCAAGCTAAAGCGCAAGCTAAAGCAGGTAGCCTTCTCCTACATCGTCCCATCCTCAAAAACAATAGAATATTCCTCAGGTTTTAATGTGTAAATTGTGATTGTGTGCAAAATAAAATCACCGGTAGCCCCGGTTTACATTATAAATATTATAAATACCAATCTTACCGTAGTGATTTCTGATGGACCCCAAAAATCAAGAACAATTCGATCGGAATCACCGTAATGAGAAAAAGTTTTTGATAAAGATTCCATAAAGTTAAGTTAAAAGTTGAGAAAATGAAAAGATTTACAATCAATACTTTATTTTTCGCAATGATTCCTTTGGGAATTTTCAAAATTTCTAATGAAACAAAATGAATTAAAGCTGAAAAATCTGCGCTATCAAATATATTTTATAACTAAAGTTCTACAGTTTTCCCATTCATTAGGAAATCTTCTCGATATTAAATGTTGTATGAAAGACTTTTAAATATTAGAGAAGGTTTGTAAATGTTTGAATAAGCCTTTAGTGTGATTGTTGAGCACAAATTGAGCTCTGGATTCAACCAGTAATTGAGTAGTTGAGCAGATCATTTGCTGGTTATTGAGTAGATCATTGCTGACTACAGTTAGCAAACACAGGACAGATTTGACATGGCAATAAGATCTAATTCGTTTACAGATACTTTCAATTTTCCTACAGACGAGAAGATACCAGACGGAAGCTTATTCCTCATACCTTATTCTCCTCATACATTAAAGGATTGCTTTACTAGAAGGGTTTGCCAAAAAATTTCATTCATAATCGGTATTTGTTTGATTTTTTTTATCGGAAAGGCTTAGAAAAAGACATCTTGGACACAGAAAACTAAAAAAAAAGACGCTTTTCGATCTTTTACTTTTGAGAATTCTTTAGACTTTGTGTAGAAGAAATGTTCAAATTTTAAACCAAAAAAAAAAGATCTTCACAATGCTATAAAATATCAAACTTTTATTGACAAAAAGAACACAAAATTGTTAAGCTTATTGTTATTTATTGTTATTTGTTAAGCTTGTTAGCTTGTTAAGCTTATTAAGCTTCTCCCTTTATTGTCCCACCCAAACTTTGCATCGATCCTCATCTGATGGGTACATTTTCTAAAAAAATTTCATTAGAAAATTGATTAATCGTTAGAAATTTGATTAAAATTTCACCTGTCCTTGTCGACAATTGAAATCGGATGCGAATTGTGGAATGTCTTGCATCACTTGATTCGTTCGGCATTGTGCAGGAGCATGGGGATTGGTGAGGATCTAGAAATGAATCCAATTTTGTACTTTAACCAAAATATAATACCGATTAAGTACACGATACAATAAAAGATTAAATAGAATTTAAAGAAGTAAAGGAATTAGGAAGAGTAAAGGAATTAGGAAGTAAAGGAATTAGGAAGTAAAGGAAGAGAGGGGATTCGCTTAGGCTACCCTCGATCTTTTGTCTTCGAGTGGCAATTCCTCTAATCACTAAGCTATCCGGTACCTTGAATGGTTAGAAGAAAGAAGGAAGAAGGGGGAAGAAGAAAGAAAGAAGGAAAGACAAGGGGGAAGAAGAAAGAAAGAAGGAAGAAGGGGGAAGAAGAAAGAAAGAAGAAAATCGTACACAAGTCGTTTTGATGATTCTAAGTTTTCAAAACGGATTACTCAACATTTTGTCTAGATTTTTGTTTAGAAAAAACTACAGTAATCTGTAATAACTACAGTAAAATGGATTAACTATGAGTTAACTTTCAAAAAAACTGTAGGTTTCCTTAGACAAGATCCTTTAGAAGAACCTACATTCACATACCTGTCTGACGAGGTTATCTGGCCTTTGTAGCATGCACCAACTGTATCCATAACTGATCCAGAAGATCTCAAATAGTTCTTTTAGTAAAGAATTATTAATAAAATGAAATAAAATGAAAATAATACCTGATTTGGTGTGTATTTATTCATCGGATACGGTAAACGATCTTCTTCAACTCCTTTCAAATTCCTCTCCACATATTTGCGATAAGCTCTGAAAGCAGCTTGTTGACCTGAAAATATTAATTGAAAATAAGAAAATCAAATCAAAGAGATTTCTAAATAATCAATTTTATTAATAAAAAACATTTTCTCAAAGCAATTTACTCAGATTTTACCTCCAAGATCAGCAATATTCTCCCCTTGAGTCGTTTCTCCGTTTGCACAGTGAACATTTCCTGTTTTCACTGGGCAACATTGTGTATTGAATTGTGAAACAACACACTAAACTATCGGCTTGGTTAACTCAAAAAAAAGAAATCGGAACGCACTCCTTTAAGTGCTTGATTCAAGCCTCCAGATTCAAGCCTACAAATGGGTCGCGCAACTTCAAGCGATTGATTTTTTTTTTCAAAGTCTTTAAGCGCCTCCAGAGTATTGGATTCAAATAAACTTTTTTTTTCCATTTAAAAGCCAAGATTTTAAGCTATCTAATGGTATTTTAAAATTTAGATTTTTCTTTTTAACAAGACAAATGGGTCGCGCAACTCCAGGCACTTGATCTAGCCTCCAGAGCATCGGATTTCAATGGACTTTTTTTCCATTTAAAAGCCAAGATTTTAAGCTATCTAATGATATTCATTATTTAGATTTTTCTTTTCAAAAAATCGGACAAAAACCTTTATGAAAAATGAACGAAATAACGAAGGATTTGTCTTTTTAAGTCTCGATAAGGTTTTTGAGTTTTTGAGCGATTTTTTTCAAAAGAAAAATCGATTCTTGCAACTTAAAGGGAATTTTTGATCATTTTAGAATTTTTGCTCGGTTTTTAACGTTTTCCTCATCTGCTTGCTGGCATTTTTTAGCGCAATTTATTGAGAACAATTTGTAGCAACTCATATACTAGTACTCATATGCTAGTACTCATATGCTAGTACTCATATACTAGTACTCATATGCTAGTACTCATATGCTAGTACTCATATACTAGTACTCATATGCTAGTACTCATATACTAGTACTCATATGCTAGTACTCATATGCTAGTACTCATATGCTAGTACTCATATACTAGTACTCATATACTAGTACTCATATGCTAGTACTCATATGCTTTAAGTTAAGCACAGCTATTCAGACAAATCATCTAAACAGTATGATTATGCAAAGATTTAAACAATGAAAAAAAAGACTTTGTAAAAGACAATCTTCTATGTTTTAAAGAAAATAAAAGGAAATTTTGAACGCAATTATCTATTGTTGTCAATAAATTGCGTTAAAAATGCCAGCAAGCAGATGAGGAACACATTAACAACCGAGAAATATGATCTAAAATAATCAAAAGTTCCCTTTAAGTTGCAAGAGCTGATTTTTCTTTTGAAAAAAATCGCTCAAAAACTCAAAAACCTTATCGAGACTTAACAAGACAAATTCCTCGTTATCTCGTTAATTTTTCATAAAGGTTTTTGTCCCATTTTTTGAAAAGAAAAATCTAAATAATGAATATCATTAGATAGCTTAAAATCTTGGCTTTTAAATGAAAAAAAAAGTTTATTTGAATCCGATACTCTGGAGGCGCTTGAAGACTTTGAAAAAAAATCAAGCGCTTGAAGTTACGCGACCCATTTGTCTTGTTAATTCTCGTTAAGCAAGCAAACTAAAATTGGACTATTGGATCTAAAAAGAATCGTATTGGAACCGTATTGGATCTAAAAAGAACCGTATTGGAACCGTATTGGAACGGTATTGGAAACGTATTGGATCTAAAAAGAACCGTATTGGAACCCTATTGGAACCGTATTGGATATAAAAAGAACCGTATTGGAACTGTATTGGAACTGTATGGGAACCGTATGAGAACCGTATGGGAACCGTATTGGAACCGTATTGGATATAAAAAGAACCGTATTGGAACTGTATTGGAACTGTATGTGGAACCGTATTGGAACCGTATTGGAACCCTATTGGAACCGTATTGAATCTAAAAAGAATCACATTGTATCGTATCGTTTTAGATCCAAAATTCTCTCAATTTCCTAACCTGTGCCATGTCGATAAATCCTTGAGTCGAATTTGCGTCCATCCATCCCGAATGGAAATCATCATTGGCAATGAGTTGACCAGTAGGGCCAAATTGTACACCTAACATTGGTCTTTTTAACATAAAAACCATCAAAAATTCTAATAAAAGAGCTGAGTTTTCAGAGTTATTAGTTTGCTAGCTTGCTAGTTAGCTGAGTTATTTCTATTTTCCTTTAAAATTCTTTCCCTGAATCTCGGAAAATCACCTTCATCATCGTAACCATGTGTCAACTCATGTCCACCAGTCCCACCTTGACCACCATAGTTAAAAGCTTGTGGAAAGGTGAGGCTAAAAGTTTTCTTCTATAGTTGAAGAAAGCTATGGCAATGATTGCTTTCAAAACCTGTAAACAACCAGAAGACTGTATCTATCTTCAATACCGTATTCTCTCTAATAGTAGTGCACCGTCTGCCTAAATTCCTCGAAATCTCGAAAAGCGCTTATCAGAACCTATCGATGTGGGGTCGGAAAATGTAGCTGACAATGAGATCTAGTGGAGGATTAGAGTGTTGAGCTTCTGGGAAAGCTTTAGAAGCTGTAAAATAGTCACCAACTCGGCCGGCCGGGGTGCACTACTGTTAGAGAGAATACGGTATGCAAAATTTCAGAAAAACCAGATAAAACTGGAGTTAGATCGCTGGTTTGATCTCTGGATTTACTCAGAAACATGCAAATGCAAAGCCAAATGACATGCAGCCTGTTAGAGAAACAGAAACAGAAATTACCGGATTCTCTCTAATAGTAGTGCAGCCTTTGCCTAAATTCCTCGAAATCTCGAGAACCGCTTATCAGAACCTATCGATGCGGGGTCGGAAAATGTAGCTGACAATGAGATCTAGTGGAGGATTAGAGTGTTGAGCTTCTGTGAAAACTTTGAAAGCTGTAAAATAGTCACCAACTCGGCTCGCCGGGGTGCACTACTATTAGAAAGAATACGATCTCTTAAAGCATATTGATCTCTTAAAGCAAAAGTTATTGTGAAAAACATTGCTATAAATCAACATTACTAGATCTTTTTAATACTTTTTTTTAAAAATCAGATTTATCTAGGGTTTTGCAAATGAGAAAACTCACTCATAGTATGGCTCACTGAGCACAGCTAATGGAAAAGTGATCGAATTTCGCTCCGGCTGATACCAAGCATTTACTGTAGCTGGAGAAGCCAAGAAATTATGTCTAAAATTTTCAACTCTTCAATTCTTATCAATATTTCTGAAAGAAACCTTGAGGTTGGCCAGTAATCTTTTGTGTAATCGTTGTTGAGAATCTTAAAGAATTCTCGTACTTCCATTCCTTTTGAGAGAATCTTCATAATCTCATAGAAATCATCAGTGTTTAAAATCCCCTTGTAGTCCTGAAAAAAAACTTTTAAAAGAACTTTAAGAAAAACTACCTCATTGTACTTGTCAAAGAACTTTAAAAGAACTTTAAAATAACTACCTCATTGTACTTGTCAACTCTTGCATCATCGTCTCCTTTAAAAGAACCAAAGAGCATCTCGGGATAACCATAATTTTGAATCAATTTGTCGGCTTTAAATGAAATAAATTAAATGGCTTTACTATAGAATTTCTTATCGGAAAATTGGTGCAAAATAGATTACAATAGAAAATTCGAATAACTGTGATCAAAACTTTTTTGTGATGATGACCTAGTTGAAGCTGAGCTTTTTATTTAGATAAGATTGTTTCAAAGTCAATTGTTCAGGTCAAGCAGGATCATGGCTAGGTCAGAAGTCAGTTTTTGAGTCTGGCTTTACTGGTCTAGCAGTCAAAACTGGACCAGACCTTGATCCGGGTTTTGTTCGGGCACTGATCCATCTCTACTTACGATCCCGTATCTGGCATGGCTTACTGTCCCATCTCTACTTACTATATCGTAGCTGGCATGGCATACTGTCCCATCTCTACTTCCAATCCCGTAACTGGTATGGCTTACTGTCCCATCTCTACTTACTATATCGTAGCTGGCATGGCATACTGTCCCATCTCTACTTCCAATCCCGTAACTGGTATGGCTTACTGTCCCATCTCTACTTACTATATCGTAGCTGGCATGGCATACTGTCCCATCTCTACTTCCAATCCCGTAACTGGTATGGCTTACTGTCCCATCTCTACTTACTATACCTTATCGTAATTCACTTGGACCTTTACTTCCTTTACAAGACTAGATCAAAATTTAAACCGAGTCCATTAAAATTCACCTTTTTCATATGCTTTGGCTTGACTGTCTTTGGTCATCCACGTGAGAGTGCCAACCATTTCACGAAAAGATTCAATCACATAACCAGTCTAGAAAAGGATTCTTAAAAGAAAGATATGTAAATATTGATGATTTCGAAACTTAAGTCGATCTTCAGTTTAAGTTTTCAAAAGCTTACCTGAATTTTGACATCAGCGCGAGCTGGCTCTCGATCAGCTCTATTCTTTGTGTAGAAGTAGCCTGAATTTGTATGCATTTGCATAATAATTACAATAGTTTTATATTTTAATGAATCTTCAATAACTACCAGGTCCATAAGGCATCAAATCGGTGATGATTCCGACGCAGATATCTCTTAGATCAGTCGATTTTCGGACTTCCTATATTATTTTTTCAATCTTTAATACATTCAAATTGTTAGAATCTATGATTAGCTATGAAATGATTTATTGGAAAAGAATCAAGATTTACAAGATTAACTTACTCGTGTTGCCCCGATATTTCTCAATCCTCGTCCACGTCGTTCATGATATCGCAAAGCACGCTCTGTTTTACCGTCAGCTGGTTGGAAATCTTGATTGTTCTAAAGGATAAGACTTATTATTTTTAAAATAATCTAGAATTAAAAAGGATTTGATTTTAAGCTTTTGCTAAACTTTATCAATTAACTACTCTTTCTCTTTTTGAAGTACTAAAAATGAATGGAAAAGTCAAACAAGCTCTTAGCTAACATTTCACAAATGTTTAAAATGCTAAAACCTTACCTATAGCAAGAAATCGATAAATAATATAGTTAACAATCGTCTCTTGCTTGAACAAGCCATATCAAAAGTTTAAAACCTTACTTACAGCAAGAAATTGATAAGCGATATAGTTAGCAATCGTCTCTTGCTTGAACCAGCCATGTCAAATGTTTAAAACCCTTACTTACAGCAAGGAATTGATAAGCAATATAGTTAGCAATGGTCTCTTGCTTGAAAAGCCATATCAAATGTCTAAAACCCTTACTTACAGCAATAACTTGATAAGCAATATAGTTAGCAATTGTCTCGTGCTTGATCAAGCCATGTCAAATGTTTAAAACCTTACTTACAGCAAGAAATTGATAAACAAGATAGTTAACAATCGTCTCTTGCTTGAACTAGCCATGTCAAATGTTTAAAGCCTTACTTACAGCAATAAATTGATAAGCAATATAGTTGACAATCGTCTCTTGCTTGATCAAGCCGCCTTCGAAGACTGAGTCAAGCCATGAGAAGAATGAAGGTTGAGTGATGATCAGCTGGAGTTTAAGATTGAGATTCATCTTTACAACATCCCAAACTTACAGAGTTCACTTGTTTCTGCGCATCGGTTTGTCCATTCCCTGCAACAAGAGCATCCACATAAGAGGTCAAGCTAATACTTTTGAAGGCACTGCTGAGCTTAGCATACTGAAAATTTTAAAGCTTACAATACAGCTTACAATAGCTTACAATACAAAGCTTTTACAGCTAAACAGAAAATTTACATTGTAGAGATTGTACTGTTGCTTGTAATTTCTCATTTGATCATCTGGCCATGAGGCGATCGCGATTGAGATCTCGAAGTTGACAATGTCGCTGGCAATCTGAAAAGCTTACTTTGTCAATAAGTTATGTACAAAAAAAAAGATGCTTTCTAAGCAAAAATTACAGCCAAATAGATTGGAATATATCTGATTTTGATTTAATGACTTTGATCGACTAGCTAAGAGCCTTGTATCTTGGTCAGGATTCAATCAAGCCAAGGCCAAGGATTCAATCCCGGCTAGATTTTTGTTTTGACCTTGTAAATCAAGATTATGAACTTTTCTAGGGTAAAGATATCTACAAAAATCCTCTAGTTTGTCTACAATAATGTACCTGACTCAAATCAACAGCCTTTCCCTTGATTGACTTGTAGAAAGTGGTCAATGTTTGCATCACGTCAGTGACTCGATTGAGGACTTGTGAGAGGAATTGAGGTTTCACATAGAATTCTCGAGGCAATGCGAGAATTGGCTGAATATTCTCTTTAGTTTTAATTCAAATCAAGTCAACCTGTCCAACGAAAATCCCATTCTTGTCAGTGTTCACATAGTCGACGGTAACCAATGTGCTGAAAAGAGTGCCCAAAGCGTGCTCGAGCTCCAATTTCCCCACTAGATTATGAATGACATTGCTTCGAAGGTTTTTTTTCAATTACCTGCTCCAAAAAACTTTGTCATATCACTAATAGCTTTCCACGAGTCTCCATCAACGAACGGGATTCCACCAAATCTAAAAAGTAACACCAAATGACTACTACAAGGAATATAAAGATTAGACTTCTGATTCTTAGTGTACAATGGAAAAACAAAAGATTTGATTACTTTAACATCTAGTTTTCAGGTTCTAGAATTTTCTAAGCTGATCGTACTGGGAACAATGATCGTACTAGGAACAATGATCGTACTAGAAGCAATGATCGTACTAGAAGCAATGATCGTACTAGAAGCAATGATCGTACTGGGAACAATGATCGTACTAGGAACAATGACCGTATTAGGAACAATGGTCGTACTGGGAACAATGATCGTATTAGAAGCAATGATCGTACTAGAAACAATGATCGTACTAGAAAGAACATAAACATTAGACTTGTTTCTTTTTGGTTTCATTGTTAAGAAGGTTAGCTTAATCATAAAACATTTTTTTCTACCTTATTGTTTCAATTGGGTCAAAAAATCAAAAGAAAATGGTCTAGGAGGGGATTGAACCAGGGTGGTTTAGATCTGAAGCCAAGAGGCTTGGTGATGCTCCACGTTGGCAGTTGGTTCAGCCCCAAAAAATCAAGCTAAGTAAGGAGACAAACGGAAAAATGGGATTTGATTACTTTAAGGACTGCTTTTCAGGATTTCTACAGAAATTTAGAATTTTCTAAGCTTTATCTTTTCAAAATAATGACCGTAGTACAAGAAAAAAAGACAAAATTTGTTTCTTTTTAATCTGATTGTTGAAAAGTAGCCGTTGAAAGATTAAATCTCGTTTTTTTTTCCATTTTAAATCTATTGGAAATTAGCTGAACTGAATAGCTAACAGACAAGCGTACAAGAACAAGTAAAACATAAATTATAACAATCATTATGTAAAGTTATAGGTTTTTTTTATGAGAAACGTGTATCACACTCCAGTTGGGTAACTAAACCAAACCAAAACTCACAAATCCTTCATCTCTTTGTACATGTCAGCGGATTTGTCAATTGGATTTCCACTATAGTATTTGTTGCAAGTTTGAGCTGCCTGAAAAAAGCCATTATTCGTATTGGAATGAATTTATTGATTTGTGACGTCTCAACTCACTTTCCATGTGATCTGCTGAGTGATAGTTGATGATGAATTGGTCGTCTTTTCAAGTTGTTGATAAATCCATTGATTGATCTTTGTTTGACCTTCATCATATGTGCCGACTCTAAAAATTTAAAGAATAAAATAGTTTTCATAAAGTATCCGCTTACCTCGAAACATTCCCAAGATCATTTTGATGTAAAACGAAATATGAACCACATGTAAAACTGTAGAAATCTTCGCCTGAAACAATATTAATAATTATTTAATATTAAAATACTGTATTCTAGACTTTTTAATGATTAGTTAACACTTTTTGTTTGAATCAAATTCTTCTTCTTCTTCTTCTTCTTCTTCTTCTTCTACTTCTACTATTTAACAATCCAAATCAAGCTTTAATGACTGGTACTGTTAAAGCTCACGTTTGGACTTCTGAGTAGAATTTAATTCAAAAAAAAAATCAAACAAATTTGATTCAACAGTAGAATTTGAATCAAACAAACAAAAAGTGTTAACTCTTATTGTTAATCTAGATTTAAATTTTAGGGAAACCTAGCTAAAGATCTAACTTACACGGATCAAACGTCTCATTAAGTCCTTGCATCAAATAGCTTGCAGCTTCCTGAAATATATTGAAACAATGACTCAAAAATCTTTGCAACCCTTATTATAAAAGATTTTCATTTTCTAAAGTTCATAAACAATTGTACTTGATATTTTGGATTGCCGGTGGGCAATAGTGGAGCGTCAGTGGGCATCGGTGGACATGTAGGAAGATCCGGTGTCACCATGTTATCGTTGATTTTTGAAACGGTTGACTTCACATTGTTTACCTAAATTTTATGAATTAGTGCCAGAAGGGTTCTCAAGAAAATTGTTGCTAAAGATTTGTCCAAATACCCCAAGCTTCTATACGATTTCTCTTCATTCGAGAACGCTGTGATTAAAATCATGTCAATAGTTGACTCAGAAATGAGCGCTCTTTGCTTTCGATCTCTACTTCAGTAACCGTGGATCAAACGTTAATCAAACGATCAAACGATCAAACGATCAAACCTTAATCAAACGAGCAAACGATCTAACCTTAATCAAACGATCAAACGATCTTCATGTTATACGTTTTCAAAAACCTATCAAAGTTTATTTTAAAGTTTATAATAAACTCTGTGAGGTCAATTGTAAAACGTATGCTTTTATTTGTTTTACAAGATTTAATCTTAAATTATATTTCATTCACTTTATCTGCCAGTTACGAATTCAAGTATTCAAGCATTTTGGCTGGATGGTTAGTAAGGGATTAGGCCATACTCTGGCGGCAGCATGTCGATGTAGCTCATTGGTAGAGCGCTTGACCGGTAAGGCGGTAAGCCGGTAAGCGAGAGGACGCGGGTTCGAATCCATTTTGGCCAAATGGTTAGTGGCCATACTCTGGGCCATACTCTATAAGGCCATACTCTGGCGGCAACGGCCGACATGTCGTTGTAGCTCATTGGTAGAGCGCTGGCCCGGTAGGCAAGAGGTCGCGGGTTCGAATCCCGGTGGCGACCATTTTTGCCTCCCCAACCTATAACTGTCCAACTGGTTAGTAAACTTGAGTTTCAACGTTCAAATGTTCGATCTCAGTTCCGGAAAATGGAACTTTATCACCAAATAATGCGTGCTTTTCAAGTTTACCTTTGATAGAATGATGATATTCACGATGAGAGATCCAATTACAATGGCCACTGTCACAAAGACGCCAACTGAAAATGCGTTGGTTTAAAAAATTGTTGTCAAGTTTTCGTTTATATAACCGTTTATATAATAATCGATGTTTATGATTCAAAAAGTTCAATAGAAACTTGTTGAAATGAATAAATGAAAAGGTTCTATTTTTATCAAAAAAAAAAACTTTTCAAAGACTTTAAAAAGCAATTCAAAATTTTGATGATAACTGGTTTATTTTAAAATACTTTAGACTTGTATTTAAGTTTTAAAATCCCAGAGCTGCTAGCAAATAGCTTTGCTTTGTTTAAAACTTTGCTTGAAATCTAGCCACTTATCGTTTGATTAACGCTTGAAATTTACCTACCTATCGTTTGATTAACGCTTGAAATTAACCCACCTATCGTAGCTAGCCCGCTAGCTGCCATTTTTTAGAAAATTCAGTAATCCTTCTTCCAAAAAGTCTAGACAAGAAATTTCGCTTTCCCAATTTTCTTGTCGTTCTTCTTTTTCGTGTCTCTTATCAAAAGCATTTTCTGGGAGTAATGCTATCACCATTTTAAAGCCAAATTCCTTTTCCGTACTCCAGCAAAGCCTCTTTTCTTCAGTTTAAATCAGCTCACACGTTCACATGGAGATAAAACCAATCCTGAAAGAAATGAGTGGAACTTGAGAAACTTGAGCTGGATAAAAGATCAAGTAGATCAAGAAGAATCGAGAATTTAGTTACTTTTTTTGTTGCTTGCTACATTGCTCAACTTTACAAAAATCCATCTATCAAGTTTGATCTTCAGTTGGAAATAGGATCAAAAACTTTTACCCCGCTCGGACTCGAACCCGAGACCTCCCGCCTACCGGGCACCTGTGCTAACCATTACACTACGACGCACTTGATCGTGATTCCTTCAGAGGGGGTTAACTCTTGAGCTAACTCAAATCTTAAGCTTTGCCTTCATTTTGGTACATGAATTGCTCAAATTTGAAAAAAAAAACAATTCAACGAGGCTAAATTTAACAAAAATGATTTCTATTTGGGCTGAATTGCTGAGCTTATTGATCCACATCTTCCCATGGTCAACGTAAATTTCATCGACGTCGTCAAATTTAATCCTATAGACGTGCTTCCCAAAAACGATCGAAGGATCCCTCACGAGCATCACTTGAAATCCTCGGTTCACCTTTGCCAGTGAAACCACATCATTAGGGTGCATTTGTTCAAGAACTTCTAGCTTCAAATCGAAACAAAGCCGCTCCATCGGAAACGCCTTCAAATTGAGCATCTTGAATGGCATCTCGATTCGGTAGATTTCCTGCAAATTAAACAGTTAGAAGTTGTTGGAACAGAAAAAGAATCGAACTATAAGGACCCTATTTTTAGGAAAGTCGACCCAATGCAAGACTTTTCAGACGAAGTCTTTCATTATTTAACTCCAAAAACCACCAACAGATCCAAAGTATCGAATTTCCACGCATTCACGGCAAGATTAATTCTTCGCAATAAATTTTGAAAATTTATTTGTAACAAAATGCAAAAATAACAAAGTAAACAGCGAAAAGTAACAAAGAAAGATTAAATCTATGTGCAACAACAACGAGTGGAATTGCGTGGAATGGAATTGCAAGAGGACTATCTGGAATGTTATCAAAGAACGGGTGAACTATAATAAATAAAACATTTAAAAAGTGATTATTTTATTGAATAGAAATCTAGAAGGCGAAAAATTTAGTACATCCGCGATGTACTTGAAGTAAGTAAACGTGGACTCGAATTCTCGAATTTTAAAAGCTAAGGAAAACGCATCAAAATTCAAATTCTGAACGTTGTTTCTTCAAATATGAGATTCCTGGAATTCACTTTAGAGGTTTTCTTTCTGCGTTGATTTGGTTTATGCTCGCCCACTCTGACACTGCTGTTTTATGCTAAGTGCTTAAATAAATATTATAGGTTTTCGAAATTGGCTTTATAATCCTTAATCTGGCTGTAGATGCATGTAGTTTCATGAATTCTTGCCGGATCTGCAAAATAAACCTTTCACGGCTTCTATCGTCGCCTATGTTTCGCCAAACTGAAAATTGCAAAAATAGGGGATTTCAGGAGTTCCATATTTGAAAAGTAACACTCAGAATTTGAATTTTTATGCTTTTTCCATAGTTTCTAAAAACTTTAGCAACAAGAATAAAAAAAACTTGATTCTCTCCTAGAAATAAAAAATTTTTTATTTGAAATCCACTTAAAACTTAAACTTAAAAAAGCTGCGACCCTAGGCAGTATCAGAGTGGGTCAGCATAAAGCAACTCCATGCAAAAAAATTCCTAAGCAAATTTGATTGATATACAGTGGTCAAAAAGTCTTTCAAAAGCTGTATAACATTTGGTACATTACGAGTGAGATTTTTATAGTATCTGTTATGAAACATTCAGGTGCCTCCATGATTCTGTGGTACTCAGTAATACATAAGCAAAATCCCACCGAACTCTCTTCTTTTTCAACTTGTCCAAAGTGAACACCTTTGTCGGCACCAGTCGCAGTGGAGTGAAGGATTCGTGTTAGAAACTAAAACGCACATTTTGTGTACATATTTTGTGGTTGTCTTACTAGTCAAAGCATAAAAACTTACGTGAATTGCGGCTGTCGCCTGCCTCTTCCACCACTATTGAACGAGCTTTCGCACGGGCATCACCACATGGACAAAGTTCTTCACCTAAACGAAAATGGCTTCAAATCAAACAAAATCACTGACCAGAATAACCGCTTTGCAGTATCGAGCCGATCGAGCTGTTGTTCTTGCCCGTAAGCGAGCGCTTTCCATTTGACTAAAAAAAGCCTTTAATAACATTGCTTGAAGCAAGTAAACATAATCTTTCGTTGTTGAACAATTAGACATTGTTGGAACAAAAAAAAGGAGGGACGAGACAACAAGAAGATCGCGCCGTGATACATTATTTAGATTTGCGTTTAGTTGAAAGGAATTGGTTTATACGTTAAGTTAAGTTTATAGGGAACGTACAAAAAGATTCGAAGAGAATGAAGTGGAAAGCAGCCGAGAGAAACGAAAGAAAACCATTTCAGAATTTGAAACAACAAACTATGGACAACCAATAGAAACCGGAGGGAACAATTGAGAGGAAAGAGAGTACTTTAAAAGGCGCTACAAGAACATCATAAAGTTTACGAATAGAGAATCAACTAAGCGGGAGCCGGACTAAAAGCCGGGCAACATTCACAATTTCATCACAGAATGCCGAAAAAGCAAAAAAATGGCAAAAGCGGAATTCTTGTGCGGTACGGTAGCGTATCCACGCTTTAGAAAGCGCACCGGGCAAGCCGCTTTAAACCGATAGGATTTTAACCCTAAAAAATCCGGCACCAATTGCTTTTAAAAGCAATTTTCTTGACAACCTTTGAAAATTTCATTTAACAGTTTTAGGGGCAATGCCTTTTGGCGAAATCGGGCGTAACCAGGTACTTTACGGATAATGGAATTGCAAAAGGACTATCTGGAATGGAAACCAAAATCGATCCGGCTGGGGGGCTGATCAAAAATTAAAATTTTATATGGTAAATCTGTACCAGCTTTTGGGATGCCAATGAAAAGCGTTCGTTCTTCACGTAGAATAAACTAATCGATTTATGCAACAAGTCAAACAACAATCAATCAATCAACAATCAACAATCATGATATTTACTCATTACTTAAATATAAGACTTCACTGATTCATCAAGTTTGAACTGTTGAAATGTTGAGATGAGGAACAATGTGTTTTCAATAACAAAATAGAATCAATGAATTGAGCTTTTAACGAATCTTTATAAGAAGATGAACCAATGACCACTTAGTGTCAAAACGCATCAAGATTTCATAGCGAGAAATAGAGGGAGGTCCATGAAAGACTAGCATCTCCTTATCATCTGAAATCTTTTTCTTTTCAAGAAGCAAAAGCTGAAACTCCAGAAAAAGTGCAATGAGTTGTTCGCACCTCAATGTACGCGTGTTCCCTGGATGTCCGTGAAAAACTATTGAAAGTTTTTCGTGGAAACAATTGTTTCTGATAAAAAATTTGAGACAATCCGCGAAATGCTCCCAATTACCGTGGGCTAGTTCGAGGATTATCTTTTCGGACATAAAAGGGAGAATTTCTTTGATAAAACGAATGGGAAGCTCAGCGAAATAAACGGGTTCACAGTGTGACGAACGACTCTTCATGAATAGCACAAGAGATTCTCGAAGAATTTCATGATCGCCAGTCCAGGTTTCAAATGAAAAAGACGCTGAAATTCTCGCTTGAACGTGCCTATATTTTGATAGAAGAGATCCAGTGACAAATGCATCACCATTGAATTGGAAGGACACCTCTCGACAAGCTTTCCTCATAACAATTGGCAAAAAGTGGTCCACCACAAACTTTCCTGGGGTCAAAGGGTTTATGTCACCACAAGTTATGTGCAACGAATTAAAATTAATGAGCTTTTGGAAGAATCGTTTGTGCAGTGGGTTCACCGACATGGTCATGCCTGATCCAACACGCAATAGTTATAACAAATTTATTATAACAAAGCTATATATCAAAGCATTCAAATCACACAAAGTTTTAATCAGAAAAGCTAGAAGCTCTAATCTTTTTTTCTTTATTTCTTATTATAGAGAAAAATCATCAAAATTGATGTCATTTCTAAATCATCAGACTTTATGCCGTTTTTTTCTTTTCAATACTTCGAGAAAGGGAAACATTTTTCTTTTGCATAGCAAAAATGATAAGGCAAACTCTTCAGAAATATCAATGAAACGGAGTAACAATGAGTAATAGATTGTTACTCAATGAGTAGATTGTTACTCAATAAGTAGATTGTTACTCATTAAGTCCGAGTCCGAGCGGGGTAAAAGTTTTTGATCCTATTTCCAACTGAAGATCAAACTTGATAGATGGATTTGCGATTGCGATTGCGAAAAATTGTAGCATATCACCTTGATAACCCAATTTTATCCAATTTTGAATTGTTCTACGATAAGTCATCCAAAAATAGCGTTAAATAGAAAACTCCTCGTGAGTTTCCTCGGTTTTCCATTATAAAGAGAGAACTTTTACGTGAGGGGACCAAATTCGGTTCCATTATCTAGAGTTTTCCATTATACAGGGTGGCTATAAAGTATTGCGACAAATCAAAAGGATATACTCAAATGCTAAAAGGCTAAATAAATTAAAGTTTTATAACAAATAAAGTAAAAAAACCAAATTTTATAACAAATTTCCGAAATGACCGCCATCGGCTTTAAGACAAGCGTCGATTCTTTTGGGCAATAGTGCGGCGCAAGTAAGCTGGGTCTAAGTCGTCGCATTCCTTGATGAGAGCTTTCTTCAAGATATTCAAATTGTTCGCTGACTGCCTGACTTCAATGAAACGGCTCTAACTGAGCTCCTGCGGATCAACAACAAACAATCAACCAGGGCACTGGGAGAACAACTAAAGGCCTCTCATACAACAGTGGTAACCCACCTCCAACAGTGGTAACCCACCTCCATTCAATGGGATTTGTTTTGAAATTTGGCGCGTGAATTCCCCATGTGCTCACAGATGTGATGAGATTGCAGCGCCTCACATTTCCTGTCGCCCTACTCTCCCGATACAACAGATATTCCTTTCTTCCACACGTGATTACTGGTGATGTGCAGTGAATACTTTATATCAACTATCGGAGACACAAGTAGTGGATCGGTCCCGACGAGCAACCGAAACCTGAGCTCAAGCCAGAATTGCACCAGAAGAAGATTGTGTTGTGCATTTGGTAGGATCTGAGCGGAGTAGTTTATTGGGAGTCGCTACCTGAAGGCACGACTGTCACAGCTTTCCTGTACTCAGAACAGCTGGATCAGGTCGCCGAACAAATCACAAAAAATCGACCAAATTATGGAAAGGTCCTTCTCTTGCATGACAATGCAAGACCTCATGTTGCAAATATGACTCAACAAAAATTAAAGAAGCTGGGCTGGGAAGTTCTCCCGCATCCACCGTATAGCCCTGACCTTGTTCCCGCCGATTTTCATCTTTTCCGGAAGCTGGCTGCAGAACTCGATGGGGAGCATTTTGGAGATCGCGTCGAGGTCAAAAATTGGCTCCACGACTTCTTTGACGCACAGCCCAAGAATTTCTGGGAGAAGGGGATTCATGCTCTACCCAATAAATGGCAACGAATAATAGATAATAATGGTGACTATCTTGAATAAATGTGTGGTTTGGTTTTTTAGAAAAATACAGTGCAAAAAATTTTCATTTTGACCTTCCCAGCCTAATATAATGGCCTTTTGATTTGTCGCAATACTTTGTAGCCATCCTGTATAAGAAAATTAAGGATAAGACTTTTTTTTGTTTAGATTTAGATATTTTATTAATATATTCTTAATTTGATACATGAAAAATGAAAGATTTTTCTGCACAAGACCCAAAGATTGAGAAATGATTCATTGAGAGAGGAAAAAGAGCGTTACCCGATCTCAAAATTGTTGATCAATATATACAAAAACGATGAAAAAAGAAAACTTGTCGTGACGATCTCGTGATCGAGATTGCCACGTATGGAAATGGCCAGCTAGACACCTATGTGGATGAACGCCTATTGTGCGAGATTTAATATGCGCCGCTATCCCGTTCAACTCCATTGTGTGGAAGACGAGACGAACGCCCGAGTTCCGTATAAAAGCAATGTGAACGAGCTGCCGAGGTGTGTGCCGTGGAGTGCCTCTACTCTCCCAATACCAAACCACTGAACCAACTATTATTGCTGTAATAAAGATTATATCTAAACCAACAATAATCACTACAAAACTCTTCCCCTCTGATTCAGACAAAAAAGTGATCCTTTTCTCCTTTATTTGCCCTCTTCATTCCAATATTTAATCAGTCTATGCCCCATTTGATTTGATAATTATATTATCAATTTTTTAATCACTCAGTTTTTACTAGTTTCCTTGATGCTCTCAAATTTGTAAACGCTTCATATTTGGCGCATTGAAATCCTCACTTTTCTTTGTGATAATGGCTTGATGATGAGAGAAAAGTAAAGGATTCAGTGCACCAGAAGGGATGCGTTTACAAGTTTTTTAGCACTGTTTTCCAAAAGAGGCAAATATCGTTCCCGACCTTTCTCCCCCGTTTTTACCTAAAAAAAACCAAAAATTGCAAAGCTTTTCTCATTTTTTTCGAATTTTCACAAATAGTGAAAAGTTTTTTTGTGATGAGTACACATAAAAACTGTCCCTTTTTCGCTTTTTCTCGTTTTTGAATGGGAAACCCTGTAAGTGTTCATTTTGTTGCTTGAGAAATTTTGAATCAACTTTATTGTGATCAGAACTTATAAATAAACAGTGAACAACAAGTCAAACAACAATCAATCAATCAACAATCAACAATCATGATATTTACTCATTACTTAAATATAAGACTTCACTGATTCATCAAGTTTGAACTGTTGAAATGTTGAGATGAGGAACAATGTGTTTTCAATAACAAAATAGAATCAATGAATTGAGCTTTTAACGAATCTTTATAAGAAGATGAACCAATGACCACTTAGTGTCAAAACGCATCAAGATTTCATAGCGAGAAATAGAGGGAGGTCCATGAAAGACTAGCATCTCCTTATCATCTGAAATCTTTTTCTTTTCAAGAAGCAAAAGCTGAAACTCCAGAAAAAGTGCAATGAGTTGTTCGCACCTCAATGTACGCGTGTTCCCTGGATGTCCGTGAAAAACTATTGAAAGTTTTTCGTGGAAACAATTGTTTCTGATAAAAAATTTGAGACAATCCGCGAAATGCTCCCAATTACCGTGGGCTAGTTCGAGGATTATCTTTTCGGACATAAAAGGGAGAATTTCTTTGATAAAACGAATGGGAAGCTCAGCGAAATAAAGGGGTTCACAGTGTGACGAACGACTCTTCATGAATAGCACAAGAGATTCTCGAAGAATTTCATGATCGCCAGTCCAGGTTTCAAATGAAAAAGACGCTGAAATTCTCGCTTGAACGTGCCTATATTTTGATAGAAGAGATCCAGTGACAAATGCATCACCATTGAATTGGAAGGACACCTCTCGACAAGCTTTCCTCATAACAATTGGCAAAAAGTGGTCCACCACAAACTTTCCTGGGGTCAAAGGGTTTATGTCACCACAAGTTATGTGCAACGAATTAAAATTAATGAGCTTTTGGAAGAATCGTTTGTGCAGTGGGTTCACCGACATGGTCATGCCTGATCCAACACGCAATAGTACGTCGCTTTCGTCGTTTTGCTTGGAACTAGAAAAATAGAACGTAAAAATGGCATGATAATTGTCGTGATGAAAACAAAAAATGTGCAAGTTAGTGACCACAATCCTATTGTTATTCTTGTCCATTCTTGCGTTTTCAAGCAGAAAATTGATATTAACCCTGCGACTAATTGGGCCGGAGAATAGAACGAAAAAGCGTAGATCATGGTTCACTTTTAGCAATTGTAGTGCCTCAAATATTTGCAATTTCTCCAAGATCTGCACTTTCAGCAGCGACGGCAAAGAAGCGAAATTGATGAGCATCATTTATGATTTTTTCTTCTGTAATTCGTACAACACAGAATAGAGATTCTATTTGAATAATTGGCGGATCGAAAATTGCCTGGGAAATTGCCCCAAGCAAAGCAGGACGTATATGAAATTGTAGTTTGGATGTTCTGCCTGGTCCTGTATGGCACTCCCATACAGAATCCGATTCTCAGAGAAATTGCCTAAGAGATCTCGGATTGTTGAAAAACAGAACAATCGCGGAAATCGCCGAGGTCCCATAGAAATTCCGGTAGACGGGCATTTGTATGGAAGCCCCATACAAATCCCGCCAAATCCGCTTCTGTAATTCGGTAAAATAAGTGAGTTTTAACAAGTACCAAATGAAGCCAGATAGCATTTTTCAGCAAATCTATAATTCATCCAAGATTATAAGTAAATAAAAAGATGAGTTTAATCTGGTCTTTTAAAAAAAACTTCCGATAACGTGATTTAATGAGCACTTTTGTTTTGATTCTGAGTTGTGATTTGTTTGTGAGGTGTGGTTTCATTTCTCAAAACGTTTATAAGAAATCAAATTTATTACACCCAACCCAATTTTTTACTAAAAATGTGCGGAATCATTCCATTTTTTGTCGATTCATTGAGGAACGTTTTCCTTGTCGCCTTGTTTGAGCACGTACACCTTCATGGGAAGTTCCTCAGGCTCCGTAGTAGAAAGCTATAAAATAAATAAATATCAGAGATAAAAAAATAAAGAACAGTAAAACTAATAGATAAACAAAAATTACCTGGTTAGCTTTCCAAATGCGAAGTGTGACCTTGTGGGTATCCGCCCCGTGCACAACTAAAGAAATACATCAATAAGCTAACTTTTACAAACAAACAAATAAATTATTCTTTTAAGGTATTAAGACAACGGATCACGTAAAATCTTACCGTTTCCGACGAATGAAAGTTCCATGGGATTTTCCTTGCTGACTTCGAAGTTTGCCTGTGACGTCAATCGCACTCCTCCAGGAACGACAACCTTAACAAAAAAATGAGCAAAATATTGTTGTGAAATCATTATGAGGACTATATCAAAACAACTCAGTGAAAACAGATATTTATCGAAACTAAGAAATAAACAAATATTAACGATAGAATAGGGTTAATACGAACCTCAAGGCGAACCTTTTCGCTCTTCTTGTTCTCAATCACCAGTTTGCGTTCTTCTTCTTCGGCAGTTGCGATAAACTAAAGTTTTCGGGTAATAACATCAATAGAGATAAGCAAATCAAACCCACCAGTCGCTCTTGAGTTGTACCGTTATTGCATCCGCGGAAAACGAGATGAAAGTCACCTTTCTGCCATTCCATCGAGAAAGTCTAAAAAGAAAAAAATAATCAACACATACCGTATTTGCTTTAATAAATGCGCCCCCCCTCCCCCTCGACCAACTTTCAACGCTTCGTTCTTAGCTTCATTTTGAAATACTTTTATGCTTTATATACCAAAAGATTGAAGGCATTAAGGGCTATCTTTTGGTATATTAAACATAAAAATTTCTCAAAATGGGGCTGAGAACGAAAGGTCCAAATTTGGTCAAGGGAGGCATTAATTAGAGGAAATACGATAAGTTACGGTAGGTGATAAAAGCTCACTTCAGCTGATCCAGGAATATGGCCTTGATTGACCATCGAGAAAGGAGTCATGTTTGGTTGAGCCATCTTGTCGGGTTGAAGTCGAGAAGAATGATGTCCATTCGACAAAAACGATTCCTTTTATTTGACGGATTAATGCTAATTTCAGGAGTTTCTGATGCAAATTCAGAAAAAAGAGACACTATGTTAATTTTAAATAAAAATTGTAAGGGTTTGACTAATTCTTAACATTTTAGAACAATACGAGCAATTCAAGCGTCTACGCGACAAACTGATAAATGAGCCAAAAAATCTATCCCTTGAGGAGAAGCTGAAAGTGTGCACAGAAATTGGAAAGGTTAGTTATGCTTTATAGACTTAACGTTTTTTGTTTAGATCTATCAACTGATGAAAACGTGAAGTCAAAAGAAAATTCGTTTGACGGAGAGTGTCGAACAAATTCTACGACTTATTGCTAATAAGGTTAGCTGTATTTTGAACAAAAGTTAAAGTTTGGTGATTACAATTTAGGTGACAAAGGACCAACTTCAGTTCAAATGGGATTTAGAAGCAGAGAATCCGGGTTGTACGGAGGCTATTGAGTCAAGTTGCTTTTTTCGAAAAATTTTGCTTTTAGATTTTATCGCCTCGCTTCAAGCAAGACATCACAAAAAAATCATGACATAAAGCAAACGGTGGTCGACCCTTCACTTTTCAGCGATTCTTATGGATCTTCTTTATATCTTCGCCAACCTCTAGGTAGTTTTTAAAAATTTGTTTGTCTTATCTTAAATTATAATTTAGGACCTTGTAACAATGGTGGCTTCTTGTCTTATTTCAAAACATCTCGACAGGTGGGCTGTTTTTGCGTTTTCCATTTTAAGTTTACTTTTAGGGTCCACCCGTAAAGAACAAGGGTCGCAAAAATGCAAGGCAATGATGCGAGCAGCCAAGCGAGCTCGATTCGTGATGAAGACTCGATTTCAAACTTCCTTGCCGGTTGGTTGTTTATAAATCATTTAGATCGCACACAAATGCTATTAGGAGTAACCGAATTAAGTAAATTGCTATATTTTTAAATTTTGTAACGCTGTTATGATACAACAGACCTTTTCTATCAAAATATTGTTTTTAGATGAGGATATAAATGATTTGCATGATATCTTCCCTCAAATGCCATCTCCTCCACGTGAAATGCTCGATATTATCAAGGTTAGTAATAGCTAATTTATTCAATTGTAATAAAAGAGTTCTAGGACGATCCCGGATCAATCTTCAATTACGATAGTGAGCTGTCAATGTCTCTTCCATCGCCAGTGAACGGCTATTCAAAAAATTATATGCCAAGAGTTGCCAGGTAAGCTAAATATTTATTCGGCTAATATATATTTTTCTTTGCAGGGAAGGATCCGATTCTTCTTTCATATTGGGTGATCGGAAAAAGCGTTTTTCCTCAGATGTGAGTCTTCATGGTCGTCATCGAAGGTTAGCTTAGTGTTTGAGGGCTTTAATTAATAAGGATTCAGATTAACTACGCGTGTTGAAGAGATGTTGAGTGAGAAACGAGAGAAAGATCAACGAAAGCGACCACATCCACGAGACGATGAACATTTTGTAGGTTATTTTTCGGGTTTTGGAAACGAGGTCGTTTTTATTGAATCTGTAATATTAGTACAACGCTTGATCTGCCATGATTTTGAGTGCCAAATAAAATTTTGTATTGTGTTGAATGTGTTTCATTATCATTTCGAATATACTGCGAATGGTTGGGTTTTCAAATGGAAAATTTGTCGTGTGCCTAAGTATTCAATAGTCACCTGTGTTTGATGTTCTCGCTCCGTGACATCCCAAGGCCACAAAACAAATTGACCGCGTAACAAGTTAGAAACTGACTCGGAGCAAAGAATCTGAACACGGGATGAAACTCAAAAAGTTATAAATAAACTTACAGTTGGTGGGAAAATGTTGGATGCAATCCCGCGATCATGATGCAAATACAGAGCTAACGGTCGTCGGTCTTCCACACCTTTACCAACTGGGTCAAAAGCCTAAAATAGCAGATGCATAATTGCGTTATCCGGTAAAACTACCTGTTGAACTGTTTCTTGAAGTGTTCCGTGATAAAAGTTGAGTGGAGGCTTTGAAGAGATACCACCATTTCGATATCTAAGATTCGGATTAAGTTTCAAAAACAAAAAAATTCAGTATTACCTGACATCAATAATTGTGATGAAATTGTTGATAGCTTCATAAATGTCGCCATAATCCTTGGGAATAAGTGGAACCGTGTATTCATTCCGTTGAGATTCCGCAATCATGTCATCATCATCTGGTTGATAAGCATAGGGACTTGTATCCTGAACATTCGAAGTTAATTAGATTGATTTTTTAGCCAACCATATCACTATCATCATCGTCGTGAACCAATTCACGACGCCTATGCTGTCGACTCTGCTGTCATGCGGCTTCTCGTCCATTCGCACGTCGTCCACGTGTACGATCTGCCACTGAAGACGACGACGGTTGTTCAACTAAACAGATTCAGATCAAAACAATATAAAAATCGGTACAATAATGTGTCTAAAACGAACCAATATGTGTAGCTGCATGATAAGTTTGTCGTGTTCGTGGAGCCAATTCAGGAACGATTGCTTCAATATCAGGAGAAGGAGTAGCTCGTGCGAGTGGCTGCTCGATGATAGCAATATCGTCCTCCTCAGCGCTAAATTTTAAATAAAATAAAAGGAATTTTGCAGTAATTTTGCGTTTCAATTTTTCAATTTCAATAAACTGCAACAATCTAACAAAATCGTAAAACCTATGAATCTCAAAAATAATACAAGGCGACGAAGATGACGAGCATGATGATGAGGACTCACACACCGTTTGGTGTATCTGCAAGAAACCATCTGATGGAGAGATGATCTACTGTGAAAACGAAAAGGTACTTTATTATTTGTTGAAGATTTAGGGTCAATTCAACTTTTACTGGGAATACACTATATTCGTTTTCAAGTGCATTAGCACATCTTAGGACTAAAATAGATTTTGATTTATATATTTAGTGTCGTATTCAATGGTTCTACTTTGAATGTGTCGGATTGAAGCAGGCTCCGATTGGTCATTGGTTTTGCCAGGAGTGCCGACAACGACGTCAAGAATCATCTTTTTAGGTTACTATTTCTAGGGTACTTTTCTATCTGATTGTTTTTTTCTTTATTAATTCGTTTAACAGGTCTCTAAAACGTGATATACTTTTTTCTTTTTTGAACATATCTATTTGCCTATTTACCTTGTATTATGGCTCCACGAACACGACAAACTTATCATGCAGCTACACATATTGGTTCGTTTTAGACACATTATTGTACCGATTTTTATATTGTTTTGATCTGAATCTGTTTAGTTGAACAACCGTCGTCGTCTTCAGTGGCAGATCGTACACGTGGACGACGTGCGAATGGACGAGAAGCCGCATGACAGCAGAGTCGACAGCATAGGCGTCGTGAATTGGTTCACGACGATGATGATAGTGATATGGTTGGCTAAAAAATCAATCTAATTAACTTCGAATGTTCAGGATACAAGTCCCTATGCTTATCAACCAGATGATGATGACATGATTGCGGAATCTCAACGGAATGAATACACGGTTCCACTTATTCCCAAGGATTATGGCGACATTTATGAAGCTATCAACAATTTCATCACAATTATTGATGTCAGGTAATACTGAATTTTTTTGTTTTTGAAACTTAATCCGAATCTTAGATATCGAAATGGTGGTATCTCTTCAAAGCCTCCACTCAACTTTTATCACGGAACACTTCAAGAAACAGTTCAACAGGTAGTTTTACCGGATAACGCAATTATGCATCTGCTATTTTAGGCTTTTGACCCAGTTGGTAAAGGTGTGGAAGACCGACGACCGTTAGCTCTGTATTTGCATCATGATCGCGGGATTGCATCCAACATTTTCCCACCAACTGTAAGTTTATTTATAACTTTTTTGAGTTTCATCCCGTGTTCAGATTCTTTTGCTCCGAGTCAGTTTCTAACTTGTTACGCGGTCAATTTGTTTTGTGGCCTTGGGATGTCACGGAGCGAGAACATCAAACACAGGTGACTATTGAATACTTAGGCACACGACAAATTTTCCATTTGAAAACCCAACCATTCGCAGTATATTCGAAATGATAATGAAACACATTCAACACAATACAAAATTTTATTTGGCACTCAAAATCATGGCAGATCAAGCGTTGTACTAATATTACAGATTCAATAAAAACGACCTCGTTTCCAAAACCCGAAAAATAACCTACAAAATGTTCATCGTCTCGTGGATGTGGTCGCTTTCGTTGATCTTTCTCTCGTTTCTCACTCAACATCTCTTCAACACGCGTAGTTAATCTGAATCCTTATTAATTAAAGCCCTCAAACACTAAGCTAACCTTCGATGACGACCATGAAGACTCACATCTGAGGAAAAACGCTTTTTCCGATCACCCAATATGAAAGAAGAATCGGATCCTTCCCTGCAAAGAAAAATATATATTAGCCGAATAAATATTTAGCTTACCTGGCAACTCTTGGCATATAATTTTTTGAATAGCCGTTCACTGGCGATGGAAGAGACATTGACAGCTCACTATCGTAATTGAAGATTGATCCGGGATCGTCCTAGAACTCTTTTATTACAATTGAATAAATTAGCTATTACTAACCTTGATAATATCGAGCATTTCACGTGGAGGAGATGGCATTTGAGGGAAGATATCATGCAAATCATTTATATCCTCATCTAAAAACAATATTTTGATAGAAAAGGTCTGTTGTATCATAACAGCGTTACAAAATTTAAAAATATAGCAATTTACTTAATTCGGTTACTCCTAATAGCATTTGTGTGCGATCTAAATGATTTATAAACAACCAACCGGCAAGGAAGTTTGAAATCGAGTCTTCATCACGAATCGAGCTCGCTTGGCTGCTCGCATCATTGCCTTGCATTTTTGCGACCCTTGTTCTTTACGGGTGGACCCTAAAAGTAAACTTAAAATGGAAAACGCAAAAACAGCCCACCTGTCGAGATGTTTTGAAATAAGACAAGAAGCCACCATTGTTACAAGGTCCTAAATTATAATTTAAGATAAGACAAACAAATTTTTAAAAACTACCTAGAGGTTGGCGAAGATATAAAGAAGATCCATAAGAATCGCTGAAAAGTGAAGGGTCGACCACCGTTTGCTTTATGTCATGATTTTTTTTGTGATGTCTTGCTTGAAGCGAGGCGATAAAATCTAAAAGCAAAATTTTTCGAAAAAAGCAACTTGACTCAATAGCCTCCGTACAACCCGGATTCTCTGCTTCTAAATCCCATTTGAACTGAAGTTGGTCCTTTGTCACCTAAATTGTAATCACCAAACTTTAACTTTTGTTCAAAATACAGCTAACCTTATTAGCAATAAGTCGTAGAATTTGTTCGACACTCTCCGTCAAACGAATTTTCTTTTGACTTCACGTTTTCATCAGTTGATAGATCTAAACAAAAAAACGTTAAGTCTATAAAGCATAACTAACCTTTCCAATTTCTGTGCACACTTTCAGCTTCTCCTCAAGGGATAGATTTTTTGGCTCATTTATCAGTTTGTCGCGTAGACGCTTGAATTGCTCGTATTGTTCTAAAATGTTAAGAATTAGTCAAACCCTTACAATTTTTATTTAAAATTAACATAGTGTCTCTTTTTTCTGAATTTGCATCAGAAACTCCTGAAATTAGCATTAATCCGTCAAATAAAAGGAATCGTTTTTGTCGAATGGACATCATTCTTCTCGACTTCAACCCGACAAGATGGCTCAACCAAACATGACTCCTTTCTCGATGGTCAATCAAGGCCATATTCCTGGATCAGCTGAAGTGAGCTTTTATCACCTACCGTAACTTATCGTATTTCCTCTAATTAATGCCTCCCTTGACCAAATTTGGACCTTCGTTCTCAGCCCCATTTTGAGAGATTTTTATGTTTAATATACCAAAAGATAGCCCTTAATGCCTTCAATCTTTTGGTATATGAAGCATAAAAGTATTTCAAAATGAAGCTAAGAACGAAGCGTTGAAAGTTGGTCGAGGGGGGGGGGGCGCATTTATTAAAGCAAATACGGTATGTGTTGATTATTTTTTTCTTTTTAGACTTTCTCGATGGAATGGCAGAAAGGTGACTTTCATCTCGTTTTCCACGGATGCAATAACGGTACAACTCAAGAGCCACTGGTGGGTTTGATTTGCTTATCTCTATTGATGTTATTACCTGAAAACTTTAGTTTATCGCAACTGCCGAAGAAGAAGAACGCAAACTGGTGATTGAGAACAAGAAGAGCGAAAAGGTTCGCCTTGAGGTTCGTATTAACCCTATTCTATCGTTAATATTTGTTTATTTCTTAGTTTCGATAAATATCTGTTTTCACTGAGTTGTTTTGATATAGTCCTCATAATGATTTCACAACAATATTTTGCTCATTTTTTTGTTAAGGTTGTCGTGCCTGAAGGAGTGCGATTGATGTCACCGCCAAGCTTCGAAGTGAGCAAGGAAAATCCCATGCAACTTTCATTCGTCGGACACGGTAAATTTTTACGTAATCCGTTGTCTTAATACCTTAAAGGATTAATTTATTTGTTTGTTTGTAAAAGTTAGCTTATTGATGTATTTCTTTAGTTGTGGTCAGGGAGAATACCCACAAGGTGAAACTTCGCATTTGGAAAGCTAACCAGGTAATTTTTGTTTATCTATTAGTTTTACTGTTCTTTATTTTTTTATCTCTGATATTTATTTATTTTATAGCTTTCTACTACGGAGCCTGAGGAACTTCCCATGAAGGTGTACGTGCTCAAACAAGGCGACAAGGAAAACGTTCCTCAATGAATCGACAAAAAATGGAATGATTCCGCACATTTTTAGTAAAAAATTGGGTTGGGTGTAATAAATTTGATTTTTTATAAACGTTTTGAGAAATGAAACCACACCTCACAAACAAGCCGATATAGCGGGATTTGTATGGGGCTTCCATACAAATGCCCGTCTACCGGAATTTCTATGGGACCTCGGCGATTTCCGCGATTGTTCTGTTTTTCAACAATCCGAGATCTCTTAGGCAATTTCTCTGAGAATCGGATTCTGTATGGGAGTGCCATACAGGACCAGGCAGAACATCCAAACTACAATTTCATATACGTCCTGCTTTGCTTGGGGCAATTTCCCAGGCAATTTTCGATCCGCCAATTATTCAAATAGAATCTCTATTCTGTGTTGTACGAATTACAGAAGAAAAAATCATAAATGATGCTCATCAATTTCGCTTCTTTGCCGTCGCTGCTGAAAGTGCAGATCTTGGAGAAATTGCAAATATTTGAGGCACTACAATTGCTAAAAGTGAACCATGATCTACGCTTTTTCGTTCTATTCTCCGGCCCAATTAGTCGCAGGGTTAATATCAATTTTCTGCTTGAAAACGCAAGAATGGACAAGAATAACAATAGGATTGTGGTCACTAACTTGCACATTTTTTGTTTTCATCACGACAATTATCATGCCATTTTTACGTTCTATTTTTCTAGTTCCAAGCAAAACGACGAAAGCGACGTACTATTGCGTGTTGGATCAGGCATGACCATGTCGGTGAACCCACTGCACAAACGATTCTTCCAAAAGCTCATTAATTTTAATTCGTTGCACATAACTTGTGGTGACATAAACCCTTTGACCCCAGGAAAGTTTGTGGTGGACCACTTTTTGCCAATTGTTATGAGGAAAGCTTGTCGAGAGGTGTCCTTCCAATTCAATGGTGATGCATTTGTCACTGGATCTCTTCTATCAAAATATAGGCACGTTCAAGCGAGAATTTCAGCGTCTTTTTCATTTGAAACCTGGACTGGCGATCATGAAATTCTTCGAGAATCTCTTGTGCTATTCATGAAGAGTCGTTCGTCACACTGTGAACCCCTTTATTTCGCTGAGCTTCCCATTCGTTTTATCAAAGAAATTCTCCCTTTTATGTCCGAAAAGATAATCCTCGAACTAGCCCACGGTAATTGGGAGCATTTCGCGGATTGTCTCAAATTTTTTATCAGAAACAATTGTTTCCACGAAAAACTTTCAATAGTTTTTCACGGACATCCAGGGAACACGCGTACATTGAGGTGCGAACAACTCATTGCACTTTTTCTGGAGTTTCAGCTTTTGCTTCTTGAAAAGAAAAAGATTTCAGATGATAAGGAGATGCTAGTCTTTCATGGACCTCCCTCTATTTCTCGCTATGAAATCTTGATGCGTTTTGACACTAAGTGGTCATTGGTTCATCTTCTTATAAAGATTCGTTAAAAGCTCAATTCATTGATTCTATTTTGTTATTGAAAACACATTGTTCCTCATCTCAACATTTCAACAGTTCAAACTTGATGAATCAGTGAAGTCTTATATTTAAGTAATGAGTAAATATCATGATTGTTGATTGTTGATTGATTGATTGTTGTTTGACTTGTTGTTCACTGTTTATTTATAAGTTCTGATCACAATAAAGTTGATTCAAAATTTCTCAAGCAACAAAATGAACACTTACAGGGTTTCCCATTCAAAAACGAGAAAAAGCGAAAAAGGGACAGTTTTTATGTGTACTCATCACAAAAAAACTTTTCACTATTTGTGAAAATTCGAAAAAAAATGAGAAAAGCTTTGCAATTTTTGATTTCTTTTTGGTAAAAACGGGGGAGAAAGGTCGGAAACGATATTTGCCTCTTTTGGAAAACAGTGCTAAAAAACTTGTAAACGCATCCCTTCTGGTGCACTGAATCCTTTACTTTTCTCTCATCATCAAGCCATTATCACAAAGAAAAGTGAGGATTTCAATGCGCCAAATATGAAGCGTTTACAAATTTGAGAGCATCAAGGAAACTAGTAAAAACTGAGTGATTAAAAAATTGATAATATAATTATCAAATCAAATGGGGCATAGACTGATTAAATATTGGAATGAAGAGGGCAAATAAAGGAGAAAAGGATCACTTTTTTGTCTGAATCAGAGGGGAAGAGTTTTGTAGTGATTATTGTTGGTTTAGATATAATCTTTATTACAGCAATAATAGTTGGTTCAGTGGTTTGGTATTGGGAGAGTAGAGGCACTCCACGGCACACACCTCGGCAGCTCGTTCACATTGCTTTTATACGGAACTCGGGCGTTCGTCTCGTCAGAAAAATTGTGCAGAAAAATCTTTCATTTTTCATGTATCAAATTAAGAATATATTAATAAAATATCTAAATCTAAACAAAAAAAAGTCTTATCCTTAATTTTCTTATACAGGATGGCTACAAAGTATTGCGACAAATCAAAAGGCCATTATATTAGGCTGGGAAGGTGAAAATGAAAATTTCTTGCACTGTATTTTTCTAAAAAACCAAACCACACATTTATTCAAGATAGTCACCATTATTATCTATTATTCGTTGCCATTTATTGGGTAGAGCATGAATCCCCTTCTCCCAGAAATTCTTGGGCTGTGCGTCAAAGAAGTCGTGGAGCCAATTTTTGACCTCGACACGATCTCCAAAATGCTCCCCATCGAGTTCTGCAGCCAGCTTCCGGAAAAGATGAAAATCGGCGGGAACAAGGTTAGGGCTATACGGTGGATGCGGGAGAACTTCCCAGCCCAGCTTCTTTAATTTTTGTTGAGTCATATTTGCAACATGAGGTCTTGCATTGTCTGCAAGAGAAGGACCTTTCCATAATTTGGTCGATTTTTTGTGATTTGTTCGGCGACCTGATCCAGCTGTTCTGAGTACAGGAAAGCTGTGACAGTCGTGCCTTCAGGTAGCGACTCCCAATAAACTACTCCGCTCAGATCCTACCAAATGCACAACACAATCTTCTTCTGGTGCAATTCTGGCTTGGGCTCAGGTTTCGGTTGCTCGTCGGGACCGATCCACTACTTGTGTCTCCGATAGTTGATATAAAGTATTCA